GGTACTAAATTCAGAAAGGACAGTGTGAAGCGGAACTGTTATTTGGTTGAAGGAACAAAAGCAAAAGTTGAGAAATACAAAGTATACCCAGGGAGTGCAGGTGTGCATGTGTAATACAGAGAGAAACAGTTAGGTTTGCAGTTGGCAGGACTGGAAGATACCTGGAAGCTAGCTGAAGATAGTATCAGAGTTCTGGCTGCAGGACCTCCAGCAATCACCTGGCTGTTGTTTTTAGTTAACTTATGCCTGGGCAAGGGTTAATACAGTGAACGCTAAAGAAGCAGGGACTTTTGGTGTGATGTCAGAAAAAGGGAGGGTGTGCCTATTAAAATAGGTATGCAGGTAGTCTTGTAGAGGTTACCCCAACAGTAAACCTGCCTCATGTGCTGAGGCAGCAGAACAGTTAATCATATTTGCTTGCTTTTAGTAACATTTGTTATTCTTTTTATTATCTGACACGTTATGTTGTGGTAGAATGTGAAGGTTCTATTGTTCATACAGCACACAAATAGCACGAGTTGATCTCAGTATCAGGGGTTTTGCTGATGAAGCTGGGGTGTAAAATAAAAAAGCTACAAATCATAGCTAGATGGGCGCAGGTGGTGCAGAGAGCTGAGAAATGCACGCATGAGCATTCAAACATACACACAAACGCACACGTGTCTCTTCATCGGGCATCCTCCATTGTGAACACTGAACAAGAGGCAGACCTGCAGGGGGGCTCTTGGCAATCTGTTCTGTCCAAAGATAAAATTAAGTGTACAATATATGGAAAGATACAAGGGCCAAGAAATACAGCTCTGTTTGTACCTATTGTGCAGTTACCATAGAAAACTTATAGTGTGAGATTTGTATAAAGAAAATACAGTTGATGGTATGTTTTTGTGCTATTATTTAACAGTAAGTAGTTTTCCAGCTCTGTGAAATTTCTGCAAGCCTCAAGATTAACAGAGTATTTGTTTCCTCATCTTTGGGATGGGGAGGAGGAGGTAAGCAGGAGAATAATGTCCAGGCTTCTGTGTCTGCAGGCACCAAGGAAGCACATCTGCTGCCTCAGAGCAGTGGTCTGAGCTCATGACTGAGGAAACAGTACTTCCCACCTGGCAGTGCATTTCTGCCCTCCGAACTGGGGTGTGTCTCACCTCACCCCAGCAGACACAGGTTTTGTTTTGTTTTTTTTGTCTGGCTGCTCCCATGGTCAGGCCTGTGCTGGAAAGATGGCTGGCTGGTCTCAGCAGCCCTTTCCACTTTTGAAAGCTTGTTTGTTGGTGACAGGCAGCACAGCAGGGCTTAGCAGCTGCCCTGAGCTGATTGCCACTGCTAGCTGTGACTCAGGGCGTGGGGAGGAGCGGCTGTGTTGCCCAGAAGGTGGATGGGGCGAGTGGGTGGTTTCAGTAGGTTTCCTAGAATAACAAAAAGGATCGTGTGCAGATGCGTGAAGCCAAGTCAGTAAAAACAAGACTGCCAAACAGGACTGCCAGGATTGCAAGACCCAACGGACAGCAAAAATTTCAGCTCTCCCTTCTCTTGCTCCCTCCGACTTTTCTGCCACATTTCTCCAGCCTTCTCCTATCTGTCTGTTCCAATTTACTGCTTTGAAGTAAGAAGATATTTTACTCCTGTGCAGTATATGCAGCAGATGCAACATAAAGCTGTTTTCTGATTATTATGTTTTGATCGATGCTGCTCTGGGTTGGTCTGTGGAGAACATAGTTTGTGAATCCCACTGCAGTTATTAAAAGCATTCATAATCCTGTTTTCTTGTAAAATGGCCTAACGCATCCACGCTGGGCTGCTGCTTGTTGCCTTTCCCACGTGCTGTTGTGCTGCTTATGGTATGCTTACTGCAGTTAATGTAGGGCCTGAAGGATGCCTTGACAAAATGTCTGGGAGTTGTCTAGTGGGGACTGTGTGTGCTCTGTCTGTTAACTCTTCATGGGCTGTGTCGTGGAGGAGCTGAGGTGTCACCTCTGCTACTAATGGCTAATGACAATGTTTTGCCCAGTCATCTTACTTCAGCATGGCTGAGACTGTGATGTGGTAGGGATGGATTCAGCAGAGATGTTGGAGTGCTGGCTCCTGGACTGACTTTTTCACCAAGACCTAGGTGACTTTTACTAAAATAAAAGCACTCTCACTGATCTGATTATTCTGTCAGGCTTTATAATAATGCAAAGTTCAGAAGATTTGTAGTTTGGTTTTAATTTCATCTGTGTTTCTTAGAAATGTAGACTTAGTTACCCTCTTCCATCCTCAAAACATGAAGAGAGATGCCCAGTTGAGCTATATTGGTATTATCCATGATTTCAAGCAGAACGTCTACTTTGGGCTGATGGAAAACCAAAACTGAAATGGCTTCAGAGAAGTCATACAAAAAATAAAAGTGCAACCTGGTGACCCATGAGTTAGATCTCAGGCTTCCTCCTCAGTTCAACATAGATTTTTGCAATGTGGCCCAGGGCCAGTCTCTAGCTCTAGGTATCTTGCTCTGTCTGCTTTCCAGATATGAGAAGAAGGTTCATGGGTATCCACAACCTTCTTGGCATAACTTGTTTTCATACTTTGATATTTGATGATGATGTACCATTTGAAAGCATCTCTGCTCTCATCTGCTCCTCTGGAGGTGTGAAGGAGCCTGGCTGCAAAAGGGAGCCAAATAAATGAACCTCTTCTCACATAATACAGTGCAGGCACTGGAATGAGGAAAGTAGTGCCAAAAGGATGTACTTCAGCATACAAGGCCCATTTTCAAATAAAACCACTCTTACTTGAAAAAAACACCACTTCTATTTCTCAAGGGAATAACAATAAAAAGCAATAAAAGGTGCTTAATGACTCTACTCTTAAAAAAAAAAAAAAAAAAGCAGCTTCCAAATCTGGAAGGAAACCAAGCCATCTTGAAAAAAGAGATCCCAGACTTTCACAATACATACATCCGTCCAAAAGGCCATTGCCATGAAAGTATTTACAGCTGCACTATTATCCTGCTCCATCCCACAGCCCCAGCGGAGAGCAAGGCCAGAGCACAGCAGTGGGAAGCTCAGCAGCTGTTGAGCAATGCTTTTTCCAATAAAAGATTCACTATGCTATTTGTAGTTGTGTAAGCACGAATGTGAGCAGGTTAGTAGAAGACGACCAGCTTCCAGATGAATAAGAGCAAGCCCTGATGCTCTTTGCCATTTGGGGTAATCTTTCTTTCGAAATTTTGTGCGTGGTGTAAGCAGTGGTGAAGCATTTCTAAAGCTTTTGGCGTGCCATGGTTCAGTATCAGCTGAGTCCTTTCTGCTGCGGTTCCCCAACAGCCTAAGATGGCATGACTGCTGTGGTCCACTCCACCCTCCTGCTTGGCCCAAGTATGCCCTACTTTCTCTTGCAGACACTTGTTAGACTGCTGAACTGCCTCCATGCACTACTGAGCAGAAGACTCTCCTTACCAAAGAAAGTAAACAGTTCTTTGCTGGGTCAGTGAATTGAATTGGCTCAGGGAGCACATCTGGAAGATCCTTTCCTTGTGGTAGGACTGAGGTTTTGGAGCCGCTCATTTTTTGGAGTAACCTCACCCTTCTATTTAAAGAGTGATTGAGGGGTTATCAGTTTGTACAAAGGAAAGGGTTTACTTGGTGTCCTGTTCAAACACTGTGAAACACATTGGACAAACTTGTCTGCTTTAAAAGAACTAGTTGCTACCATTTACTCTTCAAACAGTACTGTCAAACAGCTTCTTCACCTCCAGGTTGGGCTCTTTGATTCACTTATTTAAGACCATGCCACATTGGGGTATTTGAGGTGGTTTGTATGTTTCTTGTGTATTGACTGTTGAATGGTAGCACTTACTTTTCTCTTTCAGGCCTGTTCATGTGGTGTTCTTTTGAGATAATCCCTACTATCACATCTGTTGGATGAGATGGTCTCTTCCCTGTCAGTGCCCTGCATGCCCATTGTTCTGACAAATTGCAACCACAGAAAATGTGTCTTGTCATCAGTTGTGGTGAAATTCATTTCTCCCATATGAGATCCTCTTACCCTGATCACTTGAGGTCAGAAGCATTTCCAAGAAGAGTTTTGTTTAGCCTGAATGCTGCTGGCTGTGTTGCAGTTTGGACCTCAGTCCCTCCCACACTTTGAACTCCTATTATTACTACAGTGGTGGTGCGTAATATCACTAATTACAGAGTGTCTGTGATTTCTATCATTGAAGTGACTGCAGTGGTCCTTCTGCCAGAGGCTCTCAAGCAGTGGGAGTTTGGGACTGTGCTAGACAGTAGTGTCGCTAAGTAATTCTTACTTTTATCCTTTCTAGGACTTCCACTTATGCTGAGACAGGTGATAGCATCATTATTCAGAAAGCATTTACTCCTCCACATGAGGGGGGAGGGAAGGTGGGACAGTCATGCAAGTGAGGGAGGTCTGCTTAGCACTGAGTTGGAGGCAGCAGGACAGGCACCAGTGGGGTGTGGTTTATGTGGCTGAGGAGCTTGGCACACTGTCTCTCAGTGTGTCTAAAGCCTGCAGTGTTTGCTGGGGGTGGAGTAGACCAGAGGCAGTTGGCCATAGACTGGTCCTTTTTTTTTTCTCCAAGCACCTGTCTAGAGACAAGAAGATCTGGAATGCTGTTTTTACTTCTCCTTCATATTAAGGTGTGTCATCTAACACCACTGGAGTCCTTAGCATTCTGAGCATTTAGCATGCCTTAAAATTAGTTTCAAGGTATTCCAACCAAACCTAAAATATAGGGGCCTTTCCAGAAAATCAGACATGCTGAGCTGTGAAGTGACTGTCTCTGGCTCTCTCTGTCATGGGAACACCCTGCAACTTCTTTAGATATTTAGGTACTAACACTTGTGCTCCACAAGGACAGTGGGTGGAAAGATAAACGCCATTTAAATCAGTGTCATGGTACCTAGCAGCACTGCTTTGGTTCTGAACTGTTTGGCTTCTGGGAAGATTACTGACTGGTTTTTGTTTGTTTGTTTGTTTTCTTTTTCCTGTGTTTTAGACATTTACAGCATGGTGTAATTCTCATCTCCGCAAGGCTGGAACACAGATTGAGAACATAGAGGAAGATTTCAGGGACGGTCTTAAACTCATGTTACTTCTGGAAGTCATTTCAGGTGAGAGAGGTTCTGTGTGGTGCTCTCAAGTGTCCTGAGCATCTCTGCTCTGAAATCTGTCCTCCTCTCTTGCAGAACAGGGACAACAAGGGCTGTAATGCTGCAAATTTTGCTAGAGTATAAGAACAGCTGCTTTCTGATTCAGAGCAAATTTCTCCCTAACAAATATCTTGTCTCCAGCAGTGACCATTAATGTACTTTTGGAATGTGCTCCAAGCCTCATGGCCTATGCAGGCTGCCCATTGCATTCCTGCTCCTGCCTCTCGGCTTTCCTCTGCCCATCAGGAATGCACAGCCTCCTGTGAAGGCTCAGGCAACGGCTCTTACTGCTTGGCAGGGCTGATGAAACAGCTCTGGGAAGAGTGTGGGAACGATGCACTGGCAAATCATACCAAAGCCGCATGACAGTCGGAATAGGATAGAAGTTATTGGACGAGGGGAGTCAAACCAATAAATCTTCTGTGTCATTCGGTTTCTGCTGTGACTGAAGTTTTTCCATTCTAGTTTCAATCTGAGCTCAGTGCTCAAGCCTTCAGGGGGGAAAAAAAAAAACAACAAAAAGCAAGAAAAGTAAAATCCCCCAAAACACAGTTTGAAATAAAAACAGTGGCTTGAACAAGTTAGGTCAGATTTGTTTTCACTCCCTATCACAAATGTCCCACTACTTGACAGGTATCTCCCTGGGATTATTTTATCTAAGCAGTAATCCCTATTGATGTAGGGATGAAATAAATACCTTAGTAAAGTATTGTGGGAGGCATCGAGGGGGGATAAGACTGTATGTATGAAACTGGGGTTTTATGCCCACAGACTTTCTTTTGATGGCTTTTGAGCCAGTAATAGCATCCCAGTGACTTGCACTCCTGACCTCCTCCATATGTTTTCCAACAAAACCACCATGATAGAAACACTCAAACTGCCTTCCCTCTGCCCCTCCTTTCTTTTCCTTCCCTTCTCCTTTGCCAGCTTCTGCAAAGATGCTGTCAGTATATATGTTTTCCAAAATTTATGAATATAGGATAAAACCTCAGGAGTTTTGCCCATGATAGTGGTTTGGGAGAATCAGAGCTCAAAATATTATCAGTGTACTCATTGCTTCTGCAGTGCCTGTAAGAAATGAGGTAGCAGAGTCTTATTAGTTTATTTTCTAATAAAGAGGAGGGGCTGCAATGTGGAAGCTGTGGCAGATGGGCCTTGACGACTTAGTTTCTAATCATTGAACTGGAAAATAGGGGAGAGAAGCATGAACAGGGGAGGCTGGATGAGGCTCCGTGCTTAAGTGGGGTGTCTCATATCTCATGCTGCTTGATTTCCTTGCCTCATCTCCCACTCTTCCTCTCCTGTTGTCTCTTTGGGTGCCCACTGGCAGGGCCTGTTGGAACCTCTTCAGTTTAGGAAGAAGCTAATAGCTTCTGAGTGTCCTGGTGGTTTGGGCACAGCATTTCCCCATCTGCTGTAGAGCAGCTCTGTGCCTGCAGCCTGTTGCTAGAAGACCAGCAGGCAAAGGCATCGCGACCAGCTGTGGGCTCCATCCCACCAGAGGCCACAGTCCTTCACACACTAAGGACTGAGAATCCTTTTCTTAGAGCTGGCAGAAGCTAGAACCACAGTTTTCATAGGTACAGTGGCAAAAGAGGAGAAACTTAGCACAGTTGTTTTTTCTCTATTTCTTTTCCATCATTGGTGGTTCCATTTCCAGTTGTGAGCCCCGCTGCTCTTATGGAGCCTCCTTCCAGCTGCTGGCCTTACTAGTAGCCCCTTTGGCCTGTAGTTGGGGAAGCAGCAGCCCAGCCTGTGAGCAGTGTGGGGGTAGGGAGTCTCCTGCTGGTTGGCAAGGGATTGCCTCTGTGTTTCTGCCATGGTTCCCACTGATCACCTGCCAAAAGGATGAGTCTCCGAATGGCTCTTAGCCCTCCAGTTCCAGCTCCTGGCCTTTCCTTTCAGCTTTTGGCTCACTCCACACCACCTTCCCACATTTTGGGGGACTGCAGAGCAGCTGACACGAATTTGGTGTGGGCAGGGTTGCTCTATGGCAAGCTGATCTTTCCCTCTAACCCAGAGGGTGATGGCCATAAAAGCCTTCAGCCGTGACTGGGCTGGCCTGGCTAAGAGCTGTGCAGACCACAGTGCTGCCTCCACCTGGCTGCCCAGCCAGGGTGTGAGGGAGTGCCATCCTCCTCTGCCCCCACTGCAGCAGCGGCTGCTGCCACACTGCTGTGGGAGGAAGGATGGAGCCTCCATCAGGGAAGCTGCTGGAGAACCTAGGGTGGGAGAGGCACTGTGCCACTGGGGCTGTGGGAGACCTGTTTCAGGGCAGACTCTCCTGTGTATCCTTGGGGAGATGTTGCTGCCAGGCAGCTAGGGCAGGTAGGAAGCAGTTTTCCTATCCAACGCAACTTCCTAAAGCATGGGAAGCAGTGACGTTCTGCAAGAGAGAGAGTGCCTTAGTTTTACTCAGCCCGGTACCTTCTACTGGTGAGCTGTGCTGCTGATGGGCTTCCTCCCAGCCCAGCCAGAGCCCCTCAGTCCCCCAGCCACTGTGTGGTAGGGGAAGCTCTGTGGACAGTCCTGGGACCTCCTCATTGCAAATCCTCTCCCATTGGCCTCTGTGGTGGGAAGTAACAGTTGGGCCTTCCTCCTCCGCCCCAACTGCCCCAAAAGATATCCTTTTATTTTTCACTGCATGCATTTCCTTCCCCTGGTTGACCAAACCCGTTTAAAAATTAATACTACAAGACTGATAAAGGCTAAGCTTGTGTTTAGTACATTTAAAATAAACTTATAAGGTTGGGGTTTTTTTCCCCAAACGGAAGGAATGACTAATTGAAATTTTTCCTAAACAAATTTGCTGTAAACAACTTCTATGCCAACACTTCATTGCATTGTTTGGCTTTTAAAGTACAGCCTTGGGCTAGTACATGAGAATTAAGAGAATGGATGTGAGTAGACCATGTTCATTTTCTCAGCTGGGAGAAGTACTGAGAAATAAAGCAATGATGCAAATAGCTGAAAGTAGAACATATTTCCACAGGCTTCCCTTTTAATAGTCTATGTCATTAATAATGTATGGCATGGAACCAGATGAAGCTTTTCTCTGGAAATCTAAATTTGTAATAAAGTCCAAGTCTGAAGGGAATAGCCATTGGGTTGGGACTTAAGTTCTCCAAAAAAATGATTCTAAAACAAATATCCTATTGTGATATCTGAGAGAGGAAGACTGCAGTTTTGCAATCACCATCAATTGCTCGAGGATCACATTGCTGTCAGAGGAAACAATCCTGCTCTCTCCAGCCCAGGGAGAGCAGTTCAGATGCTCTCCCTTGTGTTGGCAATGCACATGCGGCCACAAGGTGAATTGGATCAGCTTGCTGTTCCAGCTGAAACCCAATCTCTTGTGTCTCTTTTTTTTTTTTTTTTTTTTTTTTTTTCCCAAGGCTCGTTTACAGTCACATGAGCTGAAGAAAATGGTTATTTTTTAGCTGGCTCAACCCATTTGTTGACATTTGGCAGCATAAGTCTGCTTAAGTCTATTGTGAAACTGTCACAAAAAATGCTTCCACTTTTATTTAGAATGACTAGCATTATCCAAATGCAAAAGGAAAGCAATGTATCATGATGTATACTTGAGGCTCCATTAAAGCGAAATAGAGGGGTTTTTTTAATCCTAGCATGGAGGTAGTACCATAAATACATCTTTTCACTTAAATTATCAGACATCAGTGTTTCATTTTGAAAGTGAATCTGGTTTTATCCTTAAGCTTGAGAACTAATGACACCAGCCTACATTAATCACTGAAACACTTTTAAAGGATTTTAATTTCCAGACTTCTTTCTTTGTGGGGCATGGCTATGAGGATTATTTTTCTCCCTTCTAGCTTTTCTCACTCCTTTGTTAGGAAATAAGCCATCCGGTTATTATGAAAAAGAGTTCTTTAAAAAGTACTTTTCTTTCTTACCCTTAAGCCTCAAATAAAGTTTTTGAGTCAGCTCGTGCTGACTTAAATATTCAGGTTCAAGATAAAGCAAGAGACTCTTGGAACTGAATAGGTCAGGTGAGTAATCACTTGCCTAGACTTGCCCATTTGATCTCTTTTAAATTATCTCATGACTTTTTTTTTTTTTTTTTCCCCCCAAAGTGCAATACCTGGTTGCATTTTGTTTAGATCTTTTCTGTATTCTGGAGCTTGTGATCTGAAAGTGGCCATTCTGTTCATTTTTTGGTGTTGTGTGTCACATACGTGTGGTTCTTGATGTCCCATCTAATTATATTTCTGTTAGTTTCTTTGAAAAGCCCACTTGTCTGTCCAAGCTTTAATTTGCTTACTCTGTGTGTTGGGGTAGTATTAGTAAAAGTAGGCTGTAAGCATAGTTACAGACTGCCATTAATGCACTTTTTTATTTGAAGCTTTTCCAAATCTTCCAGCTTTGTTCCAGTCAGGAGCTGGTGTTTGCCCTAAGTTTTGTTCCTATGAGAGATTTACCTACCCTTGCCTCAGAGCTAGGCTGCTTCCCTCTCTATGTCTTACTTATAAACATATAAAATGCATACCACTGTGTAAGAGACCATTGCATAGAGTTAAAAATACATCAAATGTGTAAGGGAAGGGAGTAGAGATGACAGTCCTTACAGTTATAAAGCCACTAGTCAAATAAGTGATTTAATTTCCTGATACAGGTAGTTGTGGCTGTTCAGTGAAGAGACTAGAGATGTAGGAGGTCTGTATCCTGTCTGGGGAAAAGGAATACAAGATCACACTCACATTTGACTGTAGGGAGTTCCAAGAGGGAGAGATTTGCTTTGAAAGTTGGGTGTTGTAGATGCTGGAGGGGAGCTCCTCATCTGTCTTTCTGTGAGAGAGAAGTTTTTGCTGTTTCCCGGCATTGTTATCTGTGGTTAATGGTATGGAGGTTAGTTCCACTGTCTAGCTCAGTGTGATTTTGAAGGACCTTTTCACCTCTGATACAAAAACCTGCTGCGGAAAGGACTTGGTGCCAATGGTTCCTCATTAAATTATCAGGGATGCAACAAGAAGATATTTTTCTGTCTGTTTCTTTCTGGGGGTATTTAATAGTGAGTGTAGGCTGTCCTGCATTCAGTGGTGAGAAAGGAGGGCATCTACCCTCTGCCTGGGTGAGCAGCGGGAGTCACCAGCATGGGAAAACACCCATCAGGTAAGAATGGGTTCAGAATTGTTTTCTAATATCTTTTTTTTTTTTCCTATTTTCTTCTTAGGTGAACGTTTGGCTAAGCCTGAAAGAGGCAAAATGCGAGTGCACAAAATATCCAACGTGAACAAGGCCTTGGATTTCATTGCCAGCAAAGGAGTCAAACTAGTGTCTATTGGAGCAGAAGGTAAAGAAAACAGCTGATTTGTCTGGGCACAAGCTGTGCTTAGCTGCTGCCTTTCTCTCACGACTGCATGTCATTTCCCTTTGTGCCTCCCTAGCCCTACCATGTCCTTAGAGAATAAGCCGTGGAGGTAAAAAGGGGATTTATTAGGCCTTTAATCTGGATTTAAATCCCACCTTCACACCAAGCTGTCAAACCTGATTCTTGCTTGGGCTTATTGGTCAGGTCTCCTGCTTTTCTCCTGGTTCTTATGAGTTAAAGAAAACACTGAGCAGTGGCAGAAACAAACTGAGATGTTTTTTTCTCAAATGAAGAAAAGTCTCAACTGAAGCAGAGCTATTGCAAAAGACCATTGCTGCAGAACATCTCATGGGTCAAAGCTGATTGCAGTCCCCAGCACAGGTCAAGGATTCCAGTTTTCAGGGCTTCCAGGCTTCTTGTTGTGTACCCCAGAAAGCTGGGTGCTCTGGCTGGAAGCCTGTGTATTGTTGTATAGAGACCTTGTGGGCAGCACTGGGGATGCCCTCAAGACAAACTTGTGGATCATGCAGACAGCAGAGAGGATTTCTGTCTTTTTAGCAAAGGTGGTGAGTGTTTTGCAGGTATGTCACCTGAGTTGCAGAAGGACTTCCAGGTTATTAAGATAGTTTGCTCTTGTATAAACCTTAACAATTTGTCATCTTATCTGGATTGTGTTTTCATGACACTTGTTTTCTTCTGCTCTGGATCAGTGTGTGAGTCCTGCCTATGGACTCATGTTGTCACTGTTGCTGTGGAGACACTCTGCTTCTGTTGTATTTCTAGGTTTGTCTTCACAGTGACCGCAGAAAATGAAGGAGGTTTGTTATCTCCATCTTACAGATGGAAATATGTGGTTTCTTCAGGGAAGCTCATGACAGAGCCAGGAAATGAGCCCATGATACAGTTCTGGATAAGCATTCCTCCTTCGTGAGAGTCATGGGGCTGCAGGGCTGAGCCCTGCCTGTTCTTAGCCCAGGAGGTCAGACCAGTGTTGGCATGCTGTTCCCAATTTTGGCATTTCAGGCATGCTCTTGGGGACATGTCCAAGACATATGCTCTTCATATGGTCCACTTGTTCTGTGTCAGATGAGGGAGAATACCTCAGCTGCTGCAGATGTTTATGTTTGCCTTGCCAAGACCTTTACCTCAATGTACTGCTATAACTTTATGGAGGCTTTGGCATAATTTTAAACTAGTGTCCAGGAGCATTGCAGACACTTTTCTATCTAAGAGCAAAATACAAGAGGTGAATGACTAAATGATATTTATACTTTGCGTGTAAAACTTTTCTTCCATTTTTTCAGCTTTTCCCACAGAAGCAACCTGAGGGTGTTGCTGGCCCTGAATACTGTTTGTGTAGCCTAAGTACCTATCTAAGGTCATTTGGTGCCTTTATAAAATAGACTGATGCATCCAGTGTGTCTGGTACAGTAGCCCATATCTTTATGGGACTCTTCAAACTGGAATTTGGACCTGGAGCCAGAGATCATCTACCTTAAGACAGTTCCTGGTGTCATTTGGATTTCGGACTGAGAGACCTATCTTCCCTGCTCTATTTTATTTGTGGGTTTTTTTTAAATGGTTCTGCTCTCCCTAACACTAGTTTGTCTTTTCTTCTCCTTCAACTGGATTTTTCTTTTTTGATCTCTGCTCCTGAATCAGCTGTGACTGTACTCTCACAGCACTTAGAAATCATTTGCAAGTAAAATGGTCTGTGACCAAAGATCTCCAGGGCCCTCTTATTCGGTGTGGATCCATAATAGTTACCCTGTTCAGAAATAGGCTGTGAGGTGCCATTTTGTGACAGAAGCCATGATTATATATAATGGTGATGGTATATCAGTCTGAATAGCGATCGTGACCTCCCCTGCCAAATATTCCTGGCTCTCCTTTGTCCTGATGCCCATGCAGCTACATGGTGAATCCATGAGTTTCTTTATACTACCAATGGTAGCACAGCACTGAAGTTTGGACCAAGGTTAGCTTTGATTTTTATACAGAGTGCTTGTGCCCATGCTGTGATGCCAGCTCAGGCCATGTAAGTGTGATTGGCTCCCCAACTCCAGTGGCTACCCATGCACCTAGACTGAGCCCAGGCCACTCTGATTGTCACGAGGAAACATCCCCTGCTGCCAGACCTTCTGCCCAGTCCATCCAGGTGCTTGATGAATTAAACATCAGCTATAAAATTGGACTTTTACTTTGAACAGCACAGCAGTTACTCTGTCCATGGAAGCTATTATAAACCTTCCTGGAGCATGAATTTTAAGGACTTACTTTCAGACTTTAAGAAGACATCATGCAGCAGTGAAGTAGAAGACAAAAGCCAATGAGGCAGTCATAACACTGCACCAAGAAAATGAGCTGTAAGTGCCTCAGGTTGGACTGATCTAGGAAGCTTTCCAGATGGCTTTTCTCCCAGAGGAGAAAACCACCATCCAGCAGCAGTGTGGTGGTACAGGCTAGGGCAGTGCACTCCTCACCTCAATGTGGCTCACTCCATCTCTGTTTATCTGCTGCGCAGCAGGGTCCTGTGTGAAGGGTCTGCAGCCTAGCTGTAGTTCTCTGTATACGTTAGACAAATGTCGTTGGCCATCAATGTCCTGGCTTGCTTTATTTTTTTGTGGTTAAGAAATAAACTCCAGAAAAAATCCCAAGGAGACTCTCAGGTCGTCTTAAGCTTTGTGAAGCCTTGTATTTAATCAGAGTTAAAGCCAGCAAAAATGTTTTCATGGCATTTATCTCACATTTCATCAAATAAAGATCCCTCTTTGCTGTTTACAAGCCAAGCTCTGCAGCCATGTCCCACTGAATGAGAACCAGAGTTGAAGAGGACATCCTATTCACAGCATAAGTGCAGGACATATTCTATGTCCACATTAAATGGAGAGTGAAATAAGCAATGTGCGTTAAGTGTTGCATTTTACAATAATCTTTGACTGTTAACAATTCAAGATGATTCTAAACATCTTTAGCCAGAGTCTGTAGGATCAAAGCAGTTGTGGCATACTGCAGATCTGTGTAAATCTGGATCAAGGAAGGCTCTAGGCTGGTGCAGCTTCCAAATGTTTTTTCATCTCCTTTTAAATCTCACTGTCATCTGACACCTCAGAAGCCTTCTTTTGCTGTAATGGATTCCATACTGGTGTCAAATGCTCCTAGGATTTAACAGATTGAATAGGTCAAGTATGTGACCCTGAGACTGTTTTATTTGCACCTCTAATCTGCATAGAAAGTTGGTGCTTTCTTAGATGTGGCTCAGTTCAGCAAAAAGATTGGATGAACTGGTCCCTATTCTCATCTGCACAAGTGAAAGGAGAAATAAAGCTTTGAGATTTCAACAGCTGCAAAAGTCTCATCTGAGCAAAACATGTACTGAAGCACCAGACAGAGCAAGCATACATTTGACTGTGGAAAGAGGGGGAAAATAAGGCCTGTCCATGTCAGTGAGTGAAACGTAGCATTATATTTGTCCCGATTTCCTGTCTGCTCATAATTAGGGAGCTGAGATGTACACCCCAGTCAACAGTGCCATCCATCTGTCCTAAATCTGACTGTACCATCATTAGCAACATGCTTGCTGAAGACAGGGGTGCAGATGCTTGTCCTGCTTTATTTGTCATTTCTTAGGATAAATCAAATGCAGATCAGCCATTATTTTATGGCATCATTGTTGCTGTATGTCTCCAATTTCCAGATCATAATGCTATCCTACTAGTTCATCCCCTGCAATTCCTTCTCTCCGTGGGGTGATGAGAGGCTGTGCTCTCAGTAGTAGTTAGGTGGGGTAACACTTTCTGTAGCATTGATTCTGCTTCTGACTACCCAGGCCAGGGTAGAAAAGTAAGCTTGATCATTTTGCATTTTTTGAAATGAGTTTGTTCATTTAAAAAATATGGTGGCATTTTAAAAGCCACACCTATGTAGCTAGCCAGCCAGTTGTGCTCCTAAGGACTGAATGTTTGTCAGGCCCTTAATTGACTGTCAAGCAAATGGATGAGAGTACTGTAGCTTTTGCATTTTTTTTGTTCACGGTATTTGGTACAATAATGGGAGCTATGTGGAAGCATATTCACTGGTGCAAAAAATTTCCTTCCAGTGGATGCAGATGCTGCAGCAGCTTTAGCCAGCAACTGATCCACCCCCAAGCTGAATGTAAATCACATTAATAATATATACTTGCTGCTGCTGTTCAGACAACAGCTGCTGGTGGTGGAGGAAGTGCAGACAACACTTGCAGAGATCCTGCCTAGGAAGAGCACTGGGAAAGCACAGTCAGACACAAGATACTGTCTGATTATTAGCCTTTTAATAGTGAACTGCTCTCTTATTATTGAGACTTACTTATATCAGCAGGGAATAAACATGGTATCTTTAATTAAGCATTAGATTGTTCTAGCTTTGTAGTGTTATGTTCAGTTTTTTAACAATTCCTGTGGAGTTTCTTTCTCTTCATCACCAGGAAGCAGACAGCTTCATGCAAACTTGTTTTGCAACCATGTTTTTCACTTTAGTTTCTTGGCCGTATTCCACTGTATTAGAAAGAGACTGGCAGTAGCTGAAGGGCGCTGAAAGGATCCTAAAGGAAAAGAAGGTTGGCATTGGGGAATGCAAGGGTGGAAAAATGAGTGAGTGGGGGCCAAAGAGCATATGGACTTTCTGATCAGACTGGCTGACTTTGTAACCAGGTTGCCAGGAGAAGTTTTTTAGCTCCAGAAATGAAAAATGCTTGCCTGCTTCTAGCAAATAATAAGTTTTGTCAATTCTATTTAAAAGAAGAAGAAGAAGAAAAAAAAAAGAGTAGTAAAGGACTGGGAATGGTGTGGTTGGTTAAATCTGCATCCTGGGATGGATCACTCACTAATCTCACTGACATCAGTATCTGCTTGGTAGGTGGTGGGTTTTCTCTGCGTCAAGAAAAAGTAAAATGATATGTAGAGATGAAGCGGTGGAAATACCATGTGTTTCTTCCAGAGCAGCTTTGCTTTTGTGTACTGCTAAGGAAGAATCAGACATAGGAGCAAGGAGCACACATCTTCCTTTTTTATAAATGAGTAATGCAATGAAGAGGGATGGGGGAGAAGAGATGCCTTCCACCTTAACTCCATCAGCTAGCTTTATAAAACTGGAATTTGAGAACGTGACCAGAGCATAGTGCTGAATTCTAATGCCACATTAACAACTTAACGCCATATGGTTTTATGTAAGTATCTTGATCTTTATTGCCAATTAAAATCCATGGAACAGTAATATTAATTACCTGTTGCAGCTCACTGATTGATTTATTAGTGTTCATAAAGCATTTTCAACATTAAAGTATTGCCATTCAGATTTTAATCTAGTCCATTAAAATAAGAGCTCAGTTTAGGTTCAGATCTTAAATATATCCTAGGGTTCTTCTGTCAACTCCTGTGGTTTTTACAAGTGGGGTTTTTTACTTTCTGAAAATCTCCACAAAGATTTATTTCATGAACAAAATAAACTGAAAACACAAATGCTTTCTTTTGTATTTTAGCTGTAGTATCTCAGGTATTTGTAACCATAGTAAGGTTTTTCCTTGAAGTTGATTGCAGTGCTTTATTTGAGGGGTGAAGAACGCAAAAAGTGCAAAACTGGATATACTTGCTGTCACATAACATGTCTTACATCAGCCTAGCAAACAACCCCCGAAATACCTGTAAAAAAATAATTTGTGAGAAAACAGGCAAACATAGTTTTTTCATGCCAGCAACAGTAACTGTAGTTTTTTTGTACTGCACTGAAAAGTTGTTGGCTATTTAATTCTGGGCAGACTGATGCCCCACCAAGGTTGTCTGTGTGTACGCTTAAGTGCAGAAAGGAGTGGATGCAGAGGTTTACTGCAGCGGGACAAGTTGCTGTGTCTTGTTTTCTATCTTACAAATCTCTAAATCCCTAATGCAGATGTATGTCCAAGCACAGCAGAGATTATCCTTCTAATTTATGCTGGAAGTTGCACTACATGTTACAATAAATCACAGGCTTTCAGGAATTTGGACCAGATGGACACTGTTTCTGAAGCAGTGTGTTTGGAGAGCATGCTACTTGTCTGTTGGTCTTGAATGCACTGAGGTTCACATTTTGAAAAATTTTCATAAGAGGAAAAACTTTTTTTAACGGCTTAAAAGGAAAATTTCAAATATTGTTACTTCTGTGACAAGATCCAGACAGGTGGCAGTTGCCTATACTGCAAATTTCTACTTGTCCCAGATCATAATGTGTTCCTGCTAGGCAGCTTTATGGAAGCATTGGCACAGAAATGTCTACAGTAGTACAAAAATGGTTTCTGGCAGCCTTGTTAGAACTTGAATTATTCTACCTCCATACAGTAGGTTAATTCTAACCATTTTCTTACTGGAAATACTCTTGTAACTTGTCAGTTGTTTGTGAAAGATCCTTCTGCCATGCAGAAACCTCCCAGAAAATGAGTAGGAGAAGGCAGCTTGGCTAGTTTCACTATCCAAAAAAAAGTGAAGGCTGTAAATTTTGTAACATGTATATATAGTCTGTGTAGAATTTTTGTAGATGCTGAGGATCAGCACTTGAGACCCATCTACTCACTGTTTGGCACTAATCTATACATGGTGGAAGCCCCTTTCTGGGCCAGCATCCCCCCAGCACCTCCCCCAGAACCTTGATCCTCCATGTTAAACAGATCATACCTCACACACAAGCAGTCACTTTATAAAGCCTCCAAGTTGTTGACCCTTGCTGATTTATATTGCTGAGTCCAATGAGCAATAAAGCACAATCTGCTTAACGTCTTAGTTTATGTTATGGTCTGCTCAGTCTGGTCAGCATGAGTCTTGGCTTCCTTTTCAAGCAGGATGCATGTACTTTGAGTGCTCTGTTGTGTCTTTTGGCAATTATATGACTGAAAAAAGTCCTATGCTGGCAGGCTGGTGTATTTAGGCTTGTTTGAAATTAAAATGTTGATGTTTCTTGGTTTTCTTAGTGGTATCTTGTTCATATGACAAAACCAGCTGTCAGAGCTCATCTGCACTGGGAAGTCTCACTGGTTCTTCTGGTAGAATTACACTGGAGCAGTTATATAGATGATTTGGAGTAGACATCAGAGTAAGAGAGGAAGGCTTTTCTTTTGCCCAGTTTGGCTTATATGATTTCTAAGTGATCAGAATTAAACCTGAACAAGGTGGTTTTAGGCCCCTGTGAGGAATTACATTGATCTAAACTGGTCCTTATTCCTGGTCTTTTGGATCATCCATGTCTGGTTTTTGCACTGCAGAACAACCAGTCTGATTACTGGGTACTACAGGGCAAGACTGTGCTTTGCCAGCAGGGCATCTGGGGAGGTGGGGAAGAAGAGCTTTCAGCTGGAATTCCATTCTCTCATCTGCAAAAGGGAATGCTTCCCAGTACTCCTGCTTTACTAGGATTTCCACTTGCAACTTGATGCCTTGTATTTCTTCTCTTTCTGCCTTTTTTTTTCACAGAAATCGTGGATGGCAATGTTAAAATGACCCTTGGAATGATCTGGACCATCATTCTTCGTTTTGCCATTCAAGATATCTCAGTTGAAGGTAAATCTTAGTTCTTTCCAATTGCTGTTCAACAATAAACAACTGACATAACTAAATGGCTTTGGCACTTAAAAGGCCCAGCATGTGCTCTTGGGTGAGTCACTGGAAGATCCTAGGGAGCTACCCTTCCCAGGGTGCCCTGTCATCTTACTGATATTTCTGGCCAGATGCAGTTATACTGAGAAGAGTTTTTCACATCCTTTTCTTGTAAGAGATTTTAAGAGCAGCTCAAAAGGATGGTTAAGCCTGAAAGCCAACTTTAGTGTTGGAATTTACTGCGTTTCTTGCAGGCTGATTCAGGGAGTAGCACTGAAAATGGTCCTATCTCTTACAAGTCCTACAAAACTCACTAATGCCAAAAAGCTATCTTCTTATTACAGAACCTCATTAAGAAAATAATGGTAACAGAATTATCCCAGTGGAGTCTTCTGAACAAGGAATTTTCTGTCAAGTGCAATTAAATAAAACACAATTTAGTGTGGTCTCTACTAAAGAGAAGTTGGTCGTGTTTTTATAATGTACTCCAGAGACTCCTGCTTTCTAGAAAATTAGTTAATTGGTGTGTTTTCTTTCTTTCTCTAGAGACATCTGCAAAAGAAGGACTTTTGTTATGGTGTCAGAGGAAGACAGCCCCCTACAAAAATGTAAACATTCAGAACTTCCATATCAGGTGAGTTACAGGCAAGAACTTATCTTTACAATCTTGTTATTTGCATATGTGTCTTGGAATATTCAACAATGGTTCCTGACATACCTCCCAAGGCAATGCAGATGCACGTTACACAGTAGCAGTGTAGTCCAGAGAGACACCTAGGAAATTAAAGGCAGAGGTTATAAGAGTATCCAAGTACCTACATCCCAGTTTTTCATTCTGGTTATGATTCCTGCTTTTGTAAAGTTCTTCAGAGTATTAAGTCCTCTGAGAAAAGCAGTATGTGCCACAGGCTAAGCAAGACAGCTTTTGTTCTGTGAAGACTTTGGAACACTTTAGGAGCCATGAAATAAGGGCTGCACCAGAAACTTTGTAATATGTCAGAGTTGGAAAGGGATGAGAGACTTTCTTGCTCTGCTCTTAATATTTCTAAACTGGCAGATGTTCCAGTGAAGATTCTGCATAACAGTGCTTTTTCTAGCGTATCTTGGAGAACTGTATGAACCATATAAATGTTAAGCACTTTTTTTTTTAGTGTTTAAGTGCCATCCACGCTAGTCAGTACTATAGTGGAGCTAGCTGTAGGCATCTGCCTTTTCCCTAAGGAATGCACTTTTACTCCTTTAGGGCTTGTATCTACGCCTTTTTTCAACCCTGAGCTCTACACCTGTCCTTGCATGCTCTGCAGGACACGCACAGAGAGTTCAGCACAGAGGACTGGCAAAAAGGAGCTGGCAATGCAAAAGGCAAGTCCTAATCACCGGATTTTTGTAGGGGTTGAAAAGAATCTTCATTGCAGTCTCAGCAGATACAAGGCATGCCTCCTTCCCAGCACTTACAGAGGCACTCTTAGCTAGAAACTAAACCAGAATTAGTCGTCCAGCTGTCTTGCTGCCCTCCCTCATGCTTGCGCCCGTCACTGTCTCTCCCTGGCTGAGCACTGTTCATTGTGCTCTCTTCTGTCTCTCTTGTAGTTGGAAGGATGGCCTTGGTTTCTGCGCTTTAATTCATAGACACCGTCCAGAACTCATCGACTACGGGAAGCTACGAAAGGTACAACTCCATTTGTTTGTCAGAACAGATGCTTGGCTCCATGGAAATAAAGAGGGAGAAGAATTAGCTTGATAAACATAATTGGAGAACTTCAGCACAAGCTGGCAGTTGCAGGATTGGGGGGAAGGCAGGAGGGATGAATCAGTACATTCAGGCTTCTTAGTGAAGCGTGAACTTAATGAGCTTCCTGCTTGACTTTCCCTGCTTTCAGACTGCCTTATATGAGACACACATGCCCCAATCCCATCTGATGAGCAAAAGCTGGCAAATTCAGTAACACCAAATATGAGACTAGTTCTGTGCTAATGTCACAGACTAGTGAGTCAAATCAGACTTAACGTTTCTGTGGAGAATTGGATAGAAACTGGTTATCTAGTGTTCAAGTGCAAAAGCGCCTTGAGGGGTCTGTGTGCCCTCACTGGACTCCTGTCACATGCTTCTGGTTTAGCACTTATCTATCTGCAGTACTGGGCTTCTAGCACATAGGTATTCAGGTGCCAGCAAAACATTTGTTGTAACACTGTTTTACTTTAAAAGTTGCCACTGGTAACATGATATCTAACTGCTCCAAGTTTGCTTCCTGTGTGTCTTGGAGACAAGATTGCTAAATGGATGATGAGAATAAGCTCTCAGTGGTTTGTGCTGCCAGCAGTGTCTTGAGCCAGCAGGGCAATGGAAGGCCAAACTGGGTTCTCATCCTACTGACATTCCTGCAGTCTGCTGAGATTCAGTTTCACTATATCTCTGCGCAGGTGGAGTGAAATGCCACCAAGAGTAAAATTCATATGATGTTACTGCAGCTAATATGCACAAAAAGTTTGACCATCTGATTTCACAGGCTGGGAGTTACAAAGCGTGTACGTGATCAGTGTTAGCTAGGGAAATAAACATAGAAGCCCATCACTAATAGGCCTGGGCTCTTGGATCACTGTGCAGATAGACAATATGTAAATGAGTTAATCAGATTAGCTGCATCCTTGAGGCAATGAATTGTACAATGCCTGATCTGCTTTTCAGTAACCTTTTAGATCTTTACTGTCTTGCAGAGCAGTCAGTTATATTATCTCATCAGTTTTAGTGTCTGAAGGCAGCACATGATGAATAAACAGTGGGGAGAAACTGTACCTGTTTACATAAACAGCAGCAATTTTATTTTATTTTTTATTTTTTAAAAAAGGGAATTATTAGAGCTGTGTTTTCAGTGCCTGATCTTGGGAAAATAAAGGTAGCTAAGCAATGTGTGTCTGTACTAGGTAAATGCTACAGTGCTCTGTTATCAACAAAGCCCCAAGCCAAACCCAAGCTAAACTAGAGGGAGAAGTTAGTTATTTGGTCATATTCCCTGCAGGCCTTTTGAGGTGAAGAAGAGGGCGATTGTCCTACCCAGTCAAAATCAATGTAGATGGGAATGGATTTGTCCTCCCTGGAGTAAGGTTAAAGGGAACCAGAATCTTTTGTTCTTCACTTGCATGTGATTCCATCGTTCATCAGGTTCCCTCTGCCCTCTTGCAGTCTTCTGATTCTTTCTGTATCATTTTTATTGTTGTTATGCCTTGATTACTCTAAAGGCATTGAGATGGAATGCATGTTTGAGAACTCTACCATAGCTGAAATCTTGATCAAATAGCTGGGAAGAACTTTGCTCAGAGCCTAGCCTTCAACTCTGGCAGTTCATGTATGCTGAAGGGAAGTTGCCTTTTTTATGCTAGATCTTTGAAACTCATTTGTAGAATGTGTAAATGTGGCACATTCTTAAACCCACTATTTGCCTGGACTATTTCTGTCACTTGTTTCCTCCTTTGTCGCTTCTTTCTTGTTCCTTTGGCTCAACTCAACAGATTCTTGCCTGTCTCCTTGAAGCCTACTTCCCTTCTACCCCTTCCTTCAAAAACAAGCAAACAAACCAACCATCCCCAACATTTTGAATCATCCCTGGCTTTGCAGGGGACTTATCTTGCAGAGAAGGACATGAGAAAGGCTGCTGAGAAGCAGCCATCACAGTGAATAGTAGAGTAAATGTCCACCTCCAGGTCTCTTCCAACTCTAGGAAGTGATTAATGGCATCTTAGTTGTATGTGCCTTTAGTGATGTTGTGTGTGTTTCTGTGAACATACACAAATATCAAATGTGTAAGATAGAGAGGTGAACATAAGTCCAAGCTGCCAAGAGGTCTGTGTTTGGGCATTCTTCTGCAGTTTCCATGTTTCCTGCTGCTTCACAGAGGCTGTGTCTGTGCTACAGACCCTGAATTGGCAACGTATACTAGCAAAATGTAGACAGTGTAGCTGCGTGTTGTCTTCCCAAAAGTTAGCAACATCTTTTGTCAGTACAGTTTTGTATTGAGTTTTATGTTCCTAGCTGGTTTTCCTAGTCTAGCTACCTTAGCGGGGCAAGCACAATTCTTTTCTGCCTACATGCTCTGCCTAGCTGAAGCTGCTTGTATAGCTCAGGCCCCAAAATAAAAGGTGGAAGTCCAACTAGCTTGGTGTCAGTGATTCCCTGACACCGAAGCTACTTAGATGCTTAGATGGTTTCTATTCAGTGCTTCTCTGTCTGCTATTGTTCAGCTCACTGTAGATAAGATCTTGAGATTCAGCTCATGGTCTGCATGTGAGGGATATGCAGAAGATGGGGTTTCACTTTCTCCTTTTACCCAAACTGTAGCTCAACTGTGAGCCACATCTGTGATCTTTTTAATTATGTACCATGGTTGACCAATGGCTCAAACACCCCCTCATATACTGCAATCCATATAGAAATGTGGTTTGTGTACTGCCCTGTTGGATGCATTTATTACAGATATATCTGAAAACATAGGTTGTACCAATTGGATTTTTTTTCTAGTGACTTCAACTCTGGCAGATATAGTAAGTCCTTGCTCTCTCTTGATTTTTCCTCCCCCTCCATCTTCTTTCCTGATTGCTAGTTAATAGATGGTTGGGTTTTTTTATGTCACACTGCAATAATTGCCATAGCAACCTTGTGTGCTGCAAGGACTTCAAAGTAGCTGGAGGAGGAGAGAAGACAACTCCCCATGTGAGTTAGGGTTGTGGTAAAAGACAAGGAGCTGCAGTAGTCTTTAGTCAGCAAAAGCAGAGAACATGCCAGGTGGGCATCTGTTTAGGGCAGGTTTGCTGTCTGACACTGTTAAAACAACAGAATTCCTCCATGGTAAAACTAACTTTTCTCACAGTTGGCCCAGCTAGAGCCTGGCAAGTTACTGCTCCTGTTCATGTCTGCCATTTCTATGTTCACACAAGCAGAGGGAGAACTGGGGCACCTCTGCAGAACCTCATCTGGGTCAGTGCTCTTCTGGGGTGTGTGTTTCAGCTGGGGAAGGAGTGAGGGGCAGGTGACTTGGCTTTGTTTGCTCTGCTGCCTTTAGCTCCCTCAAGTGTGCCTGCAGCTGTGGTGCTGCACTGTGAGGCTTGGAGCTGAAAGGCCAGTCTTTACTACTTTATCCCTTTTCATGGGAGTCAACTGAAACATGTAATTTCAAATAATGATTAGCTGGTGTACGATGGGGTGGAGCTGAAAATGGTTAAATTTGGAGGAATTTCATAGGGCTTGAGACCCTGTTGTAGTCTTGTACAAGCCCCCAGGGAAACATTATTTCTTGCATCTTTGTGATGAGCACCTCTGCTGTCCATGATGGGTGAAGCTTGTCCCACAGGCAACAGAGTCTTAAGCAGGTGTTTAGCTCTCTGCTCATCTCGGAGCTAGTCTTGGATTTGGGTAGCTTGCTTTCAGTAGCACTATCTTTAGTTTCATTCCCAAGAGACTATGTGATCACACATCTTTCTTACTTAAGAAGGAGAAGTCTGCCAGCTTCATCTAGGTGAGTCTCCAGTTTCCTGCATGTTAAGACTTCCACCCCTTCCTTTGGGAGTGCCCAAGTCCAGTAAGTTTTCCCATCAGGAAACCTCTCCCAACTTCCAGCTTAAAATTTCTTTTTAACCTTTGGCAACAGTGCTCCTGGTGTTGTTACTTGCAAACTGATAGGAAAGCTATCTGCAGTGAGTTTGTTCCTCCCTTTCCTCCAGGAGAGGCTGACAGATCTTCAGTCAGCTCATTCAGATGGGTCTGTGTTAAGGAAGGGTCTGTGTTGTTAATACTAAACACTCTGTCAGGGCATTAGCAATGCCCCAGTGGTCATGGTCAGCAGAGGCTGAAATTTGGTACACAGTGGTGACATTCTACAAAAGTATAAAGTGGCACATCAGCTAGGGGAAAGCTGGCTAGGGAGCTGCCTCTTGGCATTTCTGGATGCTCCTGCACTTGAGTGAAAGAAAAGCTGTTACTCTTCCTTCCTAAGTGGAGCAAGGGCCCTGCCTACACATAGTGAACAAGGTATGTTATATGCCAGCTAGTCTCATCTCCTCAAGTAAGACTTTTACTTACACTTTCGGTTCATGGAGGTTTCTCCACAGCAGGTACAGGAGACAAGTAGGCTGAAGCTGAAATGGTACCAACCTCTAATTCCATGGCATGGGGTGGTTCCTTGTGGCTGAAGCATAGTGAAAATCCACTGCCTGCACTGCTGCTAATCTCTGAGGAGATGGATATAAACATACATATCTGATGTAGTCACCATTGAAAGTGTATTATATAGGGATAAAGTACTCTTTGACACTGAAATGAGGGCCTGTTACCATGTGTGACAGCTGCTAGTTTCATCACAGCATGCCTGTGCAACATTTCCTTGCCAAATATTAACTTGTCTGAGTGGACTAAATACAGATCACTGGTCGTGTTTGTTTGTTCGGTCGCCCCTGTGTGCAATTTATTTTGGTAGGTGAAACATTGCAGTCTACTTGGAGACATTCACCCAAAGGGATATGATGCTGATATGGAATGCCAACCTAATACACGCATTAATTCGTAGGTAAATGCTGCAGGAAATGGCTTTTCAGAATAGCTCAGTTTCCTAGTTTCGTGAAGGCTGTAATCTGAGGGCTACATAATAGCCAGTGCCATAAAGGAACTTTTCTGCCTGCCCATACCCTGTCTGCCCAAGCATGCTTAGCTTCATCTTTCATGCTGTGTGGGTTCAAAGGAAACTGCTTGTTGATTAGAGTTTAGGCACAGCTTAATCTTCCAAGTTAATGAAATAAGCAAGCACATGATCTCAAATAGAAAAGAAACAGAATATGGATGCCACTCTAGAAAGAAGGTGAAATAATTATAGTCCTTATTTCCAAATTTTTAAGGTGGGTCTCAGTGCGAGTGGCACAAATGACAATATGGAGAGTACTACTCCATCCTTCCTCTCTCCCAAAAGACACTTAGTAAAGAAGATTACTAAACACTAGCAGTTTATGCACAACCTTTCTTCCAGCAGAAGCCACCTGTCTCAACAGTAGAAACTGACAGTGCAAATGGCATTTGTCATCATGAAGTGGCTTGATCATTCAGAATAACTATCATGGATATACAGGAATATAGGAATCAGGCTTTTATGGGGGTCTCCTACATGTACTGGTAGATGTCTTGTTGCTGATCAGTATATTTGAATGCTGGAAACAATTTGCAGAGGTCTTTCATTTCCAGTGACATCTGCATTTCATAGTCTCTTGTGTGGCTCTTTAAAATCTAGTTACCTTTGTGATATGACTCATGATGTGATAAGTCACATTTAACTTTGTTTAGGATTTGATTACTGTGTATTGATGTCTGTATCTGAAGTGCATCCTGCTGCAGCAGAAGGTTTATATAGGGAGTAATGGAAATGTACTAATGAAATGACAAGTCCTGTGCAGCGCTTAGAAGGAAAAGCAATACTCAGACAAAATATGTACTTTTATATATATATTTATTTCATAGAGAGTTGTTAAAACATTTCTCTTCCTCCCACTCAACTGGTGTTCAACAAACTGTATGCTAGCTAAGGACAGTACCCTTTGCAGATGTTGTTACTATTTTAGTATTGCTTAGATGTTGTAACAGATACACTGCTCTGCAGTTCTTTAAAATGGAAGTTGCAAACCTAATATAAGCATGAGATATAAATGTGAGATATGACCATTTACTATCAGTATGATGTGAAGCTAATTTTACTTTAAACTAGGCTGAAGACAAAATGTATTATTTCTTCGTGTTGCAGGTGCATGGATTATAACTTAATTATCATATCATGAGTCTCCAGGCTCTGCTTTCAAAAGGAAGCTAATTATTTCATCCTGCTACATGAGGATTCACACACAATTTTGTCTGGACAGCACAGTTACCTGAGCCAAGCCAAGCACAATAGCTGTGTTTTGAGAGAAATGCTGTGTACCTTCTTACAAGTTGATGCTGATGCTCTGGCTCTGTTTCTTTTCCAGGATGATCCTCTCACTAATCTAAACACAGCTTTTGATGTGGCTGAGAAATACCTGGATATTCCCAAGATGCTGGATGCAGAAGGTAAAGTAGAATGCAGTGGCTTTTAACTTGTTTTTTTTCTCAAGAAATTTCCCACTTCTTCTAGGTGGACTTGTATTGTACAAGAATTCAGTAACCTCTGAATGCTCCTGCCATCACCTCATACTAAATGTATAGGGAAAAAGTTACAGTGGAATAATGAGTCACATTATTCCCACACATGCTTCACTCTTCCTCCTGTGCCCCTCAGTCTTCTGAGTTCTGGTGTGGAGAACTTAACCTGGCATTGACACTCTAGGCAGAGATGAGTAACAGCTGGCCTTGTCCACTGAGTTTATGTATGGTGTAGGACTGCAATCCTTTTGCCCCAATATTTATATTCTGGTCTCTTTCTGACATTGCTGGTGAGCTTCCTTTTTGAGAGGACAATATTTGTATTATAAACTACTTCTTCTTGACTGTTCAGTAATGTTGGGCATGAAGATCCCTCACTGTTCTGATCCTGGAGACCAAGGCAGAGATCCATGTTGTTCAGAGGTGCTTTTGTTACTGACTGTGACTGCTTCCCTGAGGCCACAGGGACAGCAGAATTACTTTTCAGAGCCTTGTCAGCTTGGCAATAGACTTTGAAAACTGTAGCTCTGGAGTACAAATAACAGCCTGAAATAGTTCACTGGTTGTTGGCTGTTTGCCTGAAGCCAGCTGGTTTCAATGGTAGAGGCTGTACTTCAGGCTTGGTTTGGACAGGAGAAGCAGTTAAAGACTTGTTAAATAAGGGATTGACAGGAACAGGGAGGAAAAGTAGGGATAGGGCAGCTGAACCCAGTGAATCTGTATTTGGACAACTAGGATGTTCATATTGGGTAGTATTTCCCATTCCCAGGGATGAGTCTTGCTTTCCCTGCATTCATCATGCTGAGGCCACAAAAAACCCATGAGGTTTCTGGAGTAGATTCAAGTGCTTCCTGCCATTCTGTAGGAAATACAGTCACCACCAAAATAAGTGGATCTAGCTTCACATCTCAGCAAAGCTAGCAGTGATGAAGAGGGCCCCTCGCAGGAGCTCCTATTGTTCTTTTCTGACCACTCTCCTCCCTCATGGAGTAGAGCTAATGTGCGTTCCTCCACACCATTAATTCTGATCTGGAGGTGTTGAGTTTCTCCTGAAACTAATGAAGGGGCCTTTTTGAAATTGAAGCCATCGTTGTGTTGAAATGGATGATGGAGGCATGGAAAGGAAGGGAGAAAGGATCTTTCCTGAAGAACTGCATGGAGGAATTGCATTATAATACATCTATGAAAGCCATGTCAACCTGCTGCCAAGTTTGGATTGATACAACCCACCATTTACAGTAATGTTCTCAGGACAGGGAAGTGCTGTGACGTGAGACATGCGGACAAATGGTTGCATTAGCCTGGCCAGACCCTGGAAGCAATTTTATCGTGAGGGAGGGAAACCAGGAGGGTGATCCTGGCTGCTGAGAGAGAACATCTTCTGGGGAATGCTGGGAAGCCCTGTGGAGTTGCTATGACAAGCATATACCCCAGCAGGCCTCCTGGACAGTTGTGGTGCTCCCTTTCCTTTGCTCTCCTCCCGTCAGTTGATTATGCTCTTAACGTGAGGTTTTTTTTGACAGACATTGTTGGAACTGCCCGTCCTGACGAGAAAGCCATCATGACCTATGTTTCTAGCTTCTACCACGCCTTCTCAGGAGCCCAGAAGGTATCGCAGGATCCCAAGCTCCCTCCACAGAGCACACCTGGTGCCGTTGCTAATGTCCAAACCTTTTTTTCTTTCTCTCTCTCCTCTCTAGCTACGGGCATCTTTATTATTATGTTCTTGGTAGAGTTGGCTATTGGTTCAAAGTGGTGCTCCAGACATAATATGTGGGGCAAGGGAGACAGGAGTCCCATTTCCCGCTAGTCAGTGGTACTTCCTGTGGCACTTCTGTATTCCAACACCTTGGCACGCACACAAATCCAAGGGAGTGGGGAGCTCTGCCTCATCCATTTGCCTTCTGAACTGCTGCCCTGATGTCCAAGGAAATGCACCCCCAGTGTCTGGGAAATCTGAGATAGAGTGCTAGATTTCACAAAGGTGGAGACCACCACATAGATGCTCTGCTCAGCAGGACACTACAGCCTGCCCCCCCTGGAAAGAATGCTGGTACCTATTTACTTTTTTTTTCCTTTTTCAAAGATGGAGAAACATAGCTGACTTAGTGGTTTTATGAAGGGTTCAGTGAATACCCAAAACTTTATCTTTTACCTTATATATGCTGCAGGTTCCTGCACCTTTGCTTCAAGGTCTGAACCTGCTACTTTCTCAAGTTGTGCCACAAATTCAGTCCCAGTTCACCTGGGGCTTACAAAGCATGTCTAACAAGTACATCCATGGTGATTTTGCAAACAGAGCATTGCTTATCATGACTGAGATGCCTGTTTTTCCTCTTTTCTCACCCACCATGCTGGAAATCAGGTCCTTGCTGTGTCTGGCTTAGCCATTTTCCTGTTGGTAATGGAGTTACTTAAAGAAAACATTTTGTGGATGAAACCTTGTAAACATCTCTTGCCAAAACCAGGCAGCTGCCTGTACTTCAGTACCGTAGGAACAGGCAGTGCATGTTGCAGCAGAGCAGATAGTGTGTAGGAAGTGCACTACGTAGGAAGGCTCTGATCTCTAGGTCCTAGGTGTACAGAAAGGCCTTGAGCATGGGTGTTCAAACCTCCAAACAGCCTAATTGCATCCTTGGAACAGGCCCCCAGGCCACAGCCATAAAGGTGCAGAGCCCAGATCCCCCTGTATTGGGGGGGTGGGAGGGAGAGGTGCCCCTTTGAGCCACAAGCCAACGCTGCTAGCCACCTTCTGATCTGAATTCCCAGCTCTCCGCATGGAAATCTGTTTGGCCTGTCCTGCAATGCATGATGGGAAGTTTTCTCCCCCTCTCTCACGCCACCCATGACTGTTTTGTTTTATTCTATGTGCTGCTTCTTACTTTATCCTTTCAACCTCTTTTCCTTCTCTGCACAGATATTATAGGCACGCTAAGGCCGGATGAGAAGGCCATAATGACCTATGTCTCATGTTACTACCACGCCTTCTCAGGGGCGCAGAAGGTGAGACTTTACCCTTAACAACCCCCTCCTCTCTCCCTGACCTGCCCACCGCTCCTCTCCACTGAGGAACGCACCAGACCCCCCATCCGCCCCAGGGAAGCCCAGTGCATCCAGCGATGCATGCTTGGATGTGCCATCTGTAGTCTTGCTGGAGAAGTGATGTAAATGTCCTTTCAGATGGACCTGAGCTGCCCCTTCCCTCCAGTTTCACACCCCAGCAGTGGAGAAAGCATTTGGTAAAGCTAGCATCGAAAGATGAATGAATGTCTGCTCTGACAGAGTCACTACTCTTTCAGTGACTAGTGAGCATCATCCTGGCTAGGCAGTGCGCCTCCAGAAATGCCACAATCAAATTAGCCTACTTCAGGAAATCACAGCCTGTCCTTCTTGACCTGTCATTCTGCCTTCCATGTTCAGTCCCCACTAGGTCAGTGGTCTTTTCTTAGGCTGAGCCATCTGTGAGCTGGTTACATAGCACTTTTGTGCTCCAGCCATAAAGTCCATTCCTACCAGGCCTTGAGCTTTCCCAAACTCACACACTTCATTCCGTGTTTCTCCCTGGTCATTCTCTGTTTCCCAAACCACCTATATGTTTTATTTCTCTTTCCTCTGCTTTTCACATTTCCATAACTTCAGTCCTTCTTCCTCTGCTTCCTCTTTTACTCCAAAGTCTCTTTGTCTGGCAAAGTCACAGTTTGCCTTCAGGCAAGCTTCCTCCAAAACAGCAAATTCCCTGTAATCCTTTGAATAGAATAAAGAAGTCCATCCTTTCTACCTATGCCATAGCCTGGCTCAGCTGCAGCCTTTCCACAAGATCACTGCTAGTTTCAAATTGTAGGCTTTGAAACAATAAAATCCAAGTTCAGGACTGTATTCTTCATGTTACAAGCAGATGTAAAATCTCCCTGTTTTCCCCTGCCACAACTTCTTTCTCTCACTAGGTCTTTGCTGTTTGAGACACGGTCCATGTGTTGCCCAGCTTGAGGGCTCACTTGATTCCAGGAAGAGTCCATCTCTTTCGTACAAAGCAGTGCTGATGGTCGCAGCGTTGGTGCAGATACCACACTGATGCTGGCTTTCAGGGGGCAAACACCAGCAGTAGTTTCCAGGGAGCAGCTCTTTAGTTCAGGCTTTTTGTTCTCTGCCTTGCTTCATATAAATTACACGATGCTGTCTTATTTCCAAGGAATGCAGAATATGTCCCACAGCAGTGCAGTAGGCTTGCCCATTTGGCATAATTTTTGTAGTCATGACTTCCCTGCTAGGATCCTGCTTTGTGAATAGTTTGAATCCCTTAAGATCAGGCTGCAAGCTCTGGCCAGTCAGTACTTGCCCTGGAAGACTGTAGTCTCAGAACTCATGCCAGGCTGGTGATAAGGCCCACTGTTAGCCAGGTGCCCCTGAGGGACTGCTCCATGCTCTCTCCTTAACTTGAACTCCAGATTGAGGAAACAGCAAACCACAATATGAGGAGGGTTGTGTCCTGCTGCTGCAGGAGCAGCTATGCCCCTTGCCAATCCCTTCCTCTTCTCTCTACACCCGTTCCACGATTTGGAAGCCTGCTCAGCAGGTCCCATGCTCTCATCAGCAATTTAGGTGGATGCTGGGTCTCCTGGGATAACTGAAAACAGCCTTTACTGCCTCAGGGACCTGAACCAAGTAGTTGGGGCAAGAACTAGAGATGGAGCTTCTTAGTTATTAAAGCTTCAATCCCATGTAGTCTAACTGGCTTACAGGGAAGACTAAAGATTTAATAATTTATTAATTTTTTAGCAGTCCTGATGGGCCAGCAACTCAACTGTGCCCTCACAGGAGGGGCAGAGCTCCTTCTTGGAGCTGCCCTAGCCGTTCATTAGCCAGCTGCTGAGTTACACAGATTCAAACCCCCAGGCAAAGGCAAAGTGGTTACTGAGCACAATCCCCAGCCCAGATTGTAATGTGTTGCCACCTCATGCACAGTTAGGTGACTTACTGTGATATCGCTCCATTTTTCATTCAGATTTTTCATTACTGCCACCAGTCCTGAAGGGGAAGTCCCATGAGCCGCTTTCTGCTTCTTTCACTCTCTTATACTGAACCTTTGAAGGTACAGGGACCCAGCCTGATGTGTGTGTAGATGGCTGCTTTTTCTTTATGCCATTTTTTTTATACATATGTAGATATACTTGCTTTGGTTTGCTTGTTTTCTAACTGCTTCTGACTTTCACACTAAATGCATGCAACTACTGGTTGGCTTAATATTTTGTAAACTTGATTTCTGGGGTTGAAAGTTCCTGACTAATGTTTTACCATTTTATTAAGCGATTGTGTGTTTGGCATACAGTACTCTGGAGTCTCCTCTGAGGCCAGAAGACAGCAACAGACAGGCATCTTCCCTATGTAGCATACTGTGGGAATGCCTTCCTTTTTATGATCCTCCTCAGCAGAGACACCTGGATCCATGAGCTAGAGAGACAGTGAACTCCACTTCCATCCTAAGCAGTCCAAGTCAGGGTTGAGATGAACTGAAAAGACAAAAGGCAGAGAAATCACTGCTACTTTGGCTAATTCACATTTCTGTTTTGAGTCTACCAAAGAGCATGTGCATATCACACAGCAGTGTGGTATCAAGTAGAATGCCCTGGGCTTGCCCTCCTCACAGTCTCTGAGTGCAAGTAGTATAGTTTGTCAGCACAGTGCTGCACTGAAGCTGATCAGCTCACAAAGGTTCTCTGAGAATACAGGTATGCAGCTTCCAGACCCCAGAATGGTGTATCTTCTCAGGTTGCTCCCTGCCTTGTGGGTATCTTGGCTTGTCTGGAGCCTGAAAGTGTTTCTCTGATGTTGCCATCACCACAGATCAGCTTATTAGCAGCAGTGTGGGAGGTATTGGTGGAGGTTACCTGAAAGCATTGGGATTCTTTTGTCCTACGTTGTTCAGAGCAAGTCAGTGTAACACATTGCTCATGACATTAATGGTGATAGAGGCCACAGACCTTTTCCTGCTGCTGCAGCAGCAGCCCACTGTTGCATAGAGCAGTCTGGAGCAGGCAAGAACCATTGGGAAGCAAGTGCTAGTAGGGAAGAGAAAGCTCTACACTTCAGCCATTAGGATAATACAAATAATGTTGTAATAGCTGACATTCAGAGGACTTTTGTGTTTGGACAGATGTTCAACACGCATGTATACACACACATATTGAAAATCTTGGGCAGCTGGAAGAAATCTATTGTCAGATACATGTAAATATGCCTCTGCAAAATGGTGTCCCTCCTGCACAGCTAGATGCTGCTGCAGTGGGCTCCTAGGTTATTAGAAGAAAGTTAAGAGTGTGCAGGGAGCTCCTCTCCTGGGATGACCGAGATAAACATTTGGCACTACCAGTTCCCTGCAGTCACTAGGAACATCATGGTAGGGCTCTGGCAATGTCTTTTTGACGTATTATTTGATCCCATGTCTATAAGGTTTTCTCTGGATATCAAAAAGCACTCCATTAAAGTACAAACTTTAGTTAAAAACAGATCAAAGTACAAGCTTTCTTAGATGTAACCATCATTTGCCCTTTTTGCAGTTTTTTTTTTTTCCAAGTGAAATTGCTCTTTCTTCTGTATGAGTCCCTCTGATGTGTTTTAAATTAGTTAATATCTGTGTACCTGCTAGCTGGTGTGCTTTAGTCAAGGGACAGATGACTGAATATACGTTTTTACAGCCTCTTATAAATTAATAAGATTGCCAGATCCCTTGGGACCTTAGCAATCCATACATCACTGTATAGCCTATGACTTTACTGCTATTCTTGCTGCCTTGCATCAGCTGCAAAAATTAAGAGGATTTTTCTCACATGGCCTTGCAGATTGAATAAACAGATAATAAAAGGCCTTTTAAAAATAGAAAAAGGTCGAAGCTTGCCGACTATAAGCTCAGCAAAACTTCTTTTGGCATCAGTCTCACACATAGTTTTAAGGCAGGACGCAACATTCGCAATTGGTCTGTTGTAGTGTTGGCATGTACCCTCTCTTCTTCATCCCTACCTAGGCTCTCTAAGGAGGACTAACTACTCCATAGAGGTCCTGTGGGTAGCTCTAGCACCTTGCCAGGCATCAGGGCCACAGCTGTACTGTGGTAAGAGGGTGCTGAGCAATCCCCTGACACCCATCACAGGAGCACATCCTCCAAGGCTTTGTAGCTTGGCAACTACCACAATAACAGTAAAGGGAGCTGATAGCCATGGATAGATGCTGGGCAAGGATCAGCCTACTGTATGTTCCCTGTGCCAAACACATGCATGATACTCCAGGGCAGACTGACTGCTCTTGAGTTCATAGCTGGGATTTTTCTGATCCTTACTTTGTTCGAAATTCATGTTTTAGCATGGTCAGCTCACTGCAGAGAACAAGGGTTTGGTCCCACAATGAAAAAAATAACAAGCCAACCCAACACTAAATAGTAACAACAGGCTCTTTTTTTGGTGAGACTTGTTTTGGGAGAGTAAGCAGAAAGATTACCCATAAAGGGAAAAAAACCCCTTCTCAGCTGGATCATGAGACCCTGAATACATGGTAGGTGTCATGTGGCAAGATGGTGTAGGAGGTGTCCCTGTAATGAGTGCAGAAATACAGAGAAAGCTGGAAGACAGCTCTACTGGGCAGAATTTAAGGTTAAGAGGAGTATCCACTGCTTTATCTTCCAAACAAAATTAGGAATTTTCCAAGGTCCAGTCTATGGATTAACTCTGTTTAGGTAGTTCTTTCCTGGGGTGAAACCATGTAGAGAGCCTCATCAGCTTGACAGGACTTAGTTACTGGTGTTGCAGCTCTGAATGCTGGTGATGGGAGTGGAGGTGGTGGCAGAACCCCCCTGTCTTTGTAAAGAGGCATCCAGGATCCCTCTGGTAGGAAGCAAACAACAGGGCCCTCTCAAAATAGCAGCATGAGAAAAGGTATAGAAATGTGGTGATCTCACAACATGTAGGGTGGGATCATTAGAGCTGAGAATCTCTGAAGGAATGTATTCACCTGAGAAAGGGAAAATAAATTGTTATAGAAGGTCAGCTGGAAAGCAAAGAGGTCAGGACAGATCTTTCTAAGTGCAGACAGGTTGCTAAAGCCAAGGGTAGGAAACTTTTCCCACAGGTATGTAGGAGGAAGCTAAGCTGCAAGCTTTGGTTTATATATTTTTTTCACTTTTCCCGTCTTCTGTTTTTCTTCTCTTTGTCAGGCAGAGACAGCAGCAAACCGTATCTGCAAGGTGCTGGCAGTCAACCAAGAAAATGAACAGCTCATGGAAGACTATGAAAAACTGGCCAGTGATGTAGGTGTCCATGGTGCTGTTGGTTTCTGGGTGGTGGTATGTGGAAAGGAATTGCATTTAATGATAACTAACTTGGGGAATGATATTGGCCTGTGTTTTCCTGGAAAATTCTTTTTTTTTTCCCTTGTAGCTTGAGAAAATTAAAGATCGAGCTTATATTAAAGGCAAGAGCAATCTGCTTTAAAACAGAAAGCTTCCATAGAGGAGCTCTGAGATTCTCAATTTATTAGGAGCGGCCACAGAATATTAAAGTTAAAGGAAAAATCAAACTGGTTTAACTTGCAATCCTCGGAACCATGCAACTTCATAACATCTTTCATACACATTGTATGCTGATGTACTGCAGAAGTCAGGAATTGGATCTGAGAGAATGGGTTAGAGATAATTGAGGAAAGAAGCATGCATTTGCTGATAGTTGGAAAGAATCTGTGTAGGATACAAGCTGGAGGCTGCTTTGGTTAATTGAGAAAGCTGAAGGCTGACAGACCGACATCTGTGTAAACTACAGAAGTAGCCAAATGTGGACTGAAGTGTGTTTGTGGAAGATAAGTAGGGAGGAGAAGATGAACAACAGAAGGGCAAATATAGCCGATGAGCCTGGTTTTAGCCTGGCCTGAAAAGCATAGGACACTGCTCCACTTACACATAGACTGCCCATTGCAGTACCATTTTGCTGGCTTGCCAAATAGGTTTGAGAAGGAGAGGGCTATTCAAAGAGCAACACTGACTCCAGGGAAGCTAGAGTGGGAAAAGTATAACTGGAGTCAAGAACTTGATTTCTTCTGTCAGACCCTTCTGGAGATAATATGACTTACAACATCCTTTAGTTATGCAACAGTCCAGCAAGACTGTAAAGCTCTAATGTAATCTGAGGACATAGTTTGGTCCTGATTGTGCGAAACCTATGCTTTAAACATGTTAGATTGGCAATGCTGCAACAAGCAGTACTACTTAGTGTGGTAGGGAATGGGCTGCTCATAAAAAACAAAAAACAAACAAACAAACAAACAAACAAAAAACAAAACAAAAAAACACAACACCAAAACCACCTTTCAAAAACACGTAACTTTTCTTTACAAGCCCTCCTGGTGGCAGAATCTTTCTGACAGCAAACGTAAAAGTAAATGGTCCCTAATGAGATCAGAACAACAGCTGCAGTTTTAACACAGTTTTAGTTCAAGGCTTGTCATTGCTCTTTCCAGCTGCTGGAGTGGATTCGTCGCACCATCCCCTGGCTGGAGAACCGGGCCCCGGAGAACACCATGCAAGCCATGCAGCAGAAACTGGAGGACTTCCGGGACTACCGCCGCCTGCACAAGCCCCCCAAGGTCCAAGAGAAGTGCCAACTTGAGATCAACTTCAATACCTTGCAGACCAAGCTGCGGCTCAGCAACAGGCCAGCCTTCATGCCTTCAGAAGGGAAAATGGTCTCGGTGAGTGGGAGTAACGGTACCCCAAAACCAGGACTCCTTTTCCTGCCCATGGGTGGGCAGGGCATGCCTTGCCTTCAGTGTGAGCTATTCTTTGGTAGAAACCCAACAGAATATAGTTCAGTGAGGCTGTAATAAGAGAGGGTCTAGTGATCGTTGCTTCCTTGTATCTAAACCAGACTCTGAGGCTCTTCACAAGTTGCATGTCTTTATGTGGAGATGTGTGGGAGGCTCACATTTTTTCTAATTGAAGAATGGTTGGGTTTTGTTGAAGTTTCATGTGAAGGAAGTGTTTTGAGAGGGACTCTTGTGCAGACAAGTATATCCTAATACTGCTAGTCCTGCTTATCTTAAGTCTGACACTTCATCTTCCTGACCTGTCTGCACAACCCTGTGAGATTAAAAGCCCTCATCCACTCCCTCCAACCAACTGAAACCATGTAGCTCATGGAAACTAATGCTGACATACATCTTCCCCCCCATCTTCTAACCTGTCTTTTCTTCATGTGCTTTTGTCTTTAGGATATAAACAATGCCTGGGGTGGCCTAGAGCAGGCTGAGAAGGGCTATGAGGAGTGGTTGTTGAATGAGATCCGAAGGCTAGAGAGGCTAGATCACCTGGCAGAGAAGTTCCGGCAGAAGGCATCCATTCATGAGGCCTGGACAGATGGTAATGCCAACCTGCGTGCTTCCTACTGCCTGACATGGTGCTGTCTCTTATGGAGGGAGGAAGAGATGGATCATGCATAGGTCCTTCCATGAGATTTTCATCTCAAGAATAATAGGTTCATTTCTTACTTCATTAGAAAATAATGCATGAAAATCAGATTGATCTCTGTTCTGCTACATCATGTAGCCACACTGACATTCCCTAACTGTTGCAAAGTGAGAACTTTGGATAGAAAATTGCTACAGAGCAGAGGAAAAGTTACCGTACAGTAAATGCTACAGTTGGTGTTTACAGGACCAGCATAGCCCAGTCTGCATATACTGAGACAAGTCCAGTATGAACTCTGACGGCACTGGCTGAGCTGCACGATGTGCCCTTCTCTGTTGTTAATGGCAAACTCATGTTCTGCGGTTTGAAAGTGAGGATTGTACACCTCTAGGCCAGCACACGTGAGGGCAGGCCTTCGGCATGGTGCTTGGAGTGGGGGCCTCGACGACGGGGAGCTGGCTTTGGGGGCACTGGGTCCTTCCCTTCATTCTCCTGTCCTTCATTCTCCTGTCCTTTGGCTCCCTCCCCAGGTAAGGAAGCAATGCTGCAGCAGAAGGATTACGAAACTGCTACCCTCTCGGAGATAAAGGCCCTGCTGAAGAAACATGAGGCCTTTGAGAGCGACCTGGCTGCACACCAGGACCGCGTGGAACAGATTGCTGCTATTGCACAAGAGCTGAAGTACGGCACCCCACCACATGTCCCATCCTTGGAGCCAGAGAGGCTTAATCAGCTTTGCCCTCTGCCCTCTGGAGAGCCATAAATCAATCCCCATACAAAAATGTTGGGAAGTCCAAGTGTTTCCAAATAGTATCTAGGATACTGCTCTCCAGTATCCGGATGCACCAGAAGAGCAGGCCAGAAAACGGATGAGTCGTGGGTGCTGATGAGGGGGCGGCAAAATTATATTCCCAAGCCAAGTTTCCATCTTCTTCCAGCTTGTTACGCTGCTGTGAACCCTTTCCTAAAGAGTCTGACCTGCCACTGGTGCCTGCTAAGTTTCAGAGTTGCAATGCCATCATACTTTTCCAGGAACAGAAGGAAATGGCAGAGGATAGCAGGCTCTCAGTTTGCTCTCTTTTATCAAAAAAATCTTCCTGATTCTGGCAGGAAAAAAATCTGATGCTTGAGCCCATTGTGGCCCCTGCTGCTGCCCTGGACCCTTTTGCCCTGGGAGTACTGTACCATGTGGACACTGGCTGGCACTTGCTCTGGGACATTCCCACAGCAACTCAGCTCCCTCCCTGCTTCTCCTGACTTGGAAATCTTCAGCTCCTTTTCCTGGAGTGATGAGTGATGCAGCTTCCCAGGAGAAATGGGGTCTCCTCAGGGCGGGAGGTTGATTGCTGGGGATAGCAGGCAGGTAAAGAGCTGGTCTCTGCAGCACAAGGAGAGCAGTTTTGAAACCCCACATGTTTCTTGGCAAAAACAGTCTGAACAACTTTTCTTTTACTTTGTCTCCTATTTTAAAAATATTTATATATCACACTGGCCTATCTCAAGTTAGTGTCTGGGCTAAGATCAGTACTTTTGGTCTGAAGGACTGTTTTTCTCTAAAAAATCAGGATTATTGGATCAAGATCATTATCTCCTTTAATAACACAGATTTACAGAATTGCTCCCTTGTCCAGTGGAGGATTGACCTTGGAACAGGAGGAGGGTTCAAGGCAATCCTCCATGTCAGTAAGATTAAAACTGAGGCTGGCTAGTCAGCAGGCATTAGCTGATCTGCCACTTCCAAAGCACATGCTACGTGCCAGCCAAAGCAGCTGCAGCTCTAAGAGCAACAGGGAAGGCTGGGCCCTAAGCCGGGGGGGAGAGATAATTTCTTCCAAAGTGTGAGAACAGCAGGTTCTGCCATCTTTCCAAAAGCCATCTTCCATCTCAGCAAAGAGCCCATGCCCTGAAAAACCGTGGCTGAGCTCTTTTCTGCCCCAGAGATACACTGCCAGGGAGATGGAGAGGGTCTGGAGGAAGCCACTGCAGCTGCCTATACCAGGCATGTTTGGGGTTTGAGGTCACGGAATGTTCCCACTCCCCAGAAGTAGTGGTCCAGCACGGGTGCATTACAAGCCAGGCTTTCAGAAGCAGTTCCTTCATCTGCAGGGCTGGCTCTTTAGCAAAGCAGATCAAGGAACTGATCTGGATTAAAAACCCAGCAAAGAAAAAGTTATTTTTAGCCCAAATCAGTTTCCTGACTAGTTTACTGCAAGATTCCACCAACAGTTGTGCCCACACACCTCAGAAGGGCGATACAATGGTGGGAAGAAACAAGGCTGGGGGAGGCAAGAGGAAACTGTTTAAACCTGTGTTACTGCTTGGAGAAATGCTCATCAGATGGCCCAGGGTCACTCGGTAGCCCAGTGAGTTATTCTGCTTTCTCTTTTGAGGCTGATACTTCCCAGCTTGGCTGATCTTTGCCTGCAGGCTTCTCCCTTTTTGACCATGTGCAGAACCAAGAGCACAAAGCAATATAAAACCACAAGCTTCACCTTACCCCCATGCTCCCATTTTCCCAGCCATACTCTTACCAGTCTGTGTTCCATGAGTGCCAGCCTGTAGACAGCAAAGTACTCCCCATCAGGCATGTAGGAGAGAAACCAACACTGTCATTTTGAGATTGTCCTAAATAAATGAATGGATTGTGTAATTCAGCTATTCCTTGGCACCCATACTATGCAACTCTTAGAACGATCTTCAGCAGTTTCTTTGCATTCATGATAAAATCTTTGCTGCCCATTCTAGTGTACGAGATGCAGGTAATTAGCCTGCATGATGTTCTTAAATAGAATACAGGGGCATATTGCTCATAATCTGTTTATTCCCAGTTTGATAAAAAGTCTCTACTCCCTTCCCCCAGTACCAAATTACTCCCATCAGGCAGCCAGCTCCAGTGTTTGTTGAGGCCTTGGGTGGTGGTTGTTTTTCTTCCTGTTCTGTGCTGTTGATGTACCATAACATACAGTGTCTCCAAAACTAGATACTGCTCTCTTCCTGGCTCACTTTACTTGCAGAGACCATGAGCTCTGTGTCTGAATCTGTCCTCAAGGCTGATAAAAATTTCTGATGCGTTTCTCTTTCCTCACCAAAAGGTCCTTATTTGGTTTCTTGTCCTTTTTTTCCCCCACCTCTTATAGTGAGCTGGACTATTATGACTCTCCCAGTGTCAATGCCAGGTGCCAGAAGATCTGTGATCAGTGGGATAATCTGGGTGCCCTAACTCAGAAACGTAGAGAAGCCTTGGAGGTGAGACATGTTACAAGTTGGACCTTTGGGATTCTGTGGGTAGGCTGTTTGTGGGAAGCAAGCTGCAGTGGGCACAAGCAACCGACTTCAGCTCTTTTGTGTGCTCCTAGAACATCCTGAACTGTAAACAAGAGCTGCATTTCAGTATATTTAGTCTGCTTTTCCCTTTCCAGCCCAAATTATGGTGCCATTCATTTGCTCAGGCTATTGATTTATTTCTACTTTTCAGTGTTTTGTAATTTCGTTCTGCTTGAAAAGACTGTCCTTGTTTTGTTTTATTTCAAAGGACCTCAGATTTTTCCCTCAGAGGAAAAAATCCATCCTGTATGTAATCTCTTAACAGCAGAGAGACTTTTACTGTAGTGCTGTCCTGGGAGCACCAGGGAGATCTGAAAGGAAGGAGCAGCTCAGACAATCCACATGTCTATGTGATTATTCTGTGACCATCTTTTCTGATTTTTTTCTCTTTTTGTGCATGCCCAGAGGACAGAGAAGCTACTGGAAACAATTGACCAGTTGTACCTGGAATATGCCAAACGAGCTGCCCCTTTCAATAACTGGATGGAAGGGGCCATGGAGGACCTGCAGGACACGTTCATTGTTCACACCATTGAGGAGATCCAGGTACAGAGTAGTCATTTGCACCAGTCAGGCTAGGATAGAGACAAGTTGGGGGTCCTCTGGATTCCTAGTGGTACCAGATTTGTAGGTCTTGTTTTGGTGCTTCTGCTCAAGTGAGTGAACCTTAGCAAGGGAAAGAAGTAGGAGTATGTTTTTCCTTGATTTCCTTCAAAAACCTGGCTCTGAATAGATCTGAAACATCCTCGTGCAATCCTAGCTGGACACAGAGAACTGAAAGTGGATTTTTCAGTGTAACTCCAGAGTCTTATTAGTGAAAGCCTGAAAACTGAGAGACTCTTTCAGGGCCCTGTGGGGCTTTTTTAACTCACGTGAGCAAAGCTTAGTGCTGCTTACAGGTTTTGCAGATCAATTGTCCCATGTCATGTCCAGGTCATTTGGTCCTGTGTCATAGGATGTGCCACAAGGAGGGCAGTTGTTGAGCTGCCAGCTGGGTTTTGGTGCTGAGCGCAAGAAGAATCAGAATTGTCCACATTGCTGTTGGATTATCATTTGAAGTGAAAGTCATCTTGCCTCCTGCAAGACAATAAAGACAGTATCTCAGTTTTCCCCCTTTCTGAAAAGGTGTTGCAAAAGCAACTTGAGGTATCGACAGGTAATTTCCAGACCTTTGAGAGTGGGAATTACTCTTCCCTGGGTTGTTGTGGGGATTTCTATTTCTCCTGCTTGATGGGCTCCTGAAAACTAAGTCAGCTCTTTGCAGGAATGGCTGACAGGAATGTGGCCATCAGTGAGGCAGCAAATGGAAGACTCAACAGCAGATGCTGTGTAGCCAGGGGGGCAGAGGGGTAGTGAAATAGTCCTGCTGTCAGCCTGGTATCAGCTCTGTCACTGAGCTGCTACTTGTTTCTTCCACCCTTCCCTCCTGAACAAAGGGTTTCATTAAGTCTTTCATAATGCAGAACAAATCTGAACAACATTTAAACACTTCCATCGTTTCTTTGTGACTGTTTGCAGTATCTTTCCCAGCCCCCCAGACTTTCATTACATCTCTATGGCCACTGCAGCAGCTGCAAAGTAATGAGTCACCATTTAAGGAAGCAATTTTACAAAAAGTAGTTATAGTGTGTGTGTTGTAAGAGTGGTCAATCATGTGGTTTACTTTCATTCCCTTTTATGTCCACACTGCTCCCTCGATTATCCCTGCGCATGCCTCTCTGTCCCCCATTCATTTTGCTGTCTCTTTCCCTGCGTTTGCTTCCCTAGTCTTGATCTTTCAGGCTTCTGGGATGAAGTACCTTAAAGGCCTGTAGAAGCTGTGGGAGATGAGCCAGGACCAACTGGCTTGTCAGCTGTCCACAAACTACCAGCAAGCATGCCTCCACCACCGGTCCTTGGAGCACAGTCTGGGCACCACAGCAAGACGGGGAACAGAAAGGGCCTGTTGTGTTCAGGGAGAAGGATCTGTTTTTCAGCAGCAGGAATATGTTGCCTGTGCAAGTTTGCTGTTGGCTGGAAGACCTTCACCTAGTTGTGACTGACTTTGACCAGACTGAATCTGACTCTTGTTATTCTTCTGGAGCTATCTTAGGTGTAGAACTCTAGTGCATACCTAGTGGGAGAAGAGAAACATAGCTCATTTACTCTAGTGAGATGTGACTACTTTATAGTAATGCTAGTAGTCAGATCTTCTTCCTAAAGGGGCTGACAGGCAGTCACTGAGCAGTGCTGGAGGAATAGTTCCCCCTAAATTATGAACCAAAATTATTCTACCATTTTCTGGTATGTGATCTCTGTCACTGATCAACAAAGGACAGAAACAGAGGGAAAACCAGACCACATTATCTAACTACTTTAAACAGCCTGTTTAGTGATGCTGAGAGAACCTGAAAAGCGTATTAGAGCTTTGTGTACTGGCAATATGTAAGCTTTTGAAGTCATTTCCACAGGGATACGTTTGCTGAAGAGGCTATCCGGTAACTAATGCTCTTACCTTCCCTTTGCTGCTGCCTTCCTCCTGCAGGGGTTGACCACAGCCCACGAACAGTTCAAAGCCACTTTGCCAGATGCCGACAAGGAGCGACAGGCCATCCTGGGAATCCACAATGAAGTCTCAAAGATTGTCCAGACATACCATGTCAACATGGCAGGAACGAATCCTTACACTACGATCACCCCACATGAGATCAATGGCAAATGGGAACATGTGAGTTCTTTCCAGCCTTGCAAGTTAGTGTGGGAGGATGCCACTGCTCAGTCACTGGTGCCCCAGGAAATGGATTATTTACTCTTCAGTTACCCTCTCATGCTTACTGCTGAGCTTTTTTTTCTTTGTCATTTGTTTTTGGCTCAATTGCCAAGTGCTCAGGAAGTGGAAGAGATCTTTCATTTAAATGCCTAAGGGGTGTCAGATTCCTTTTACTTGCTATTTTTATAATGAAAGATGCTAAATTAAAAGCTTTGGGGTTTTCACTCCTCAGTCAACCTGATAAGTAAGTAAGTATGGCATGTGAGTAAGTATCCTTCTTCACTATTCAACCCTTCAGATGTTTTATCTCCACAGCTAAGTAGCATTCCCTTGCTGTAATCCTAAAAGAGTGACTGCTCTCCATACCAGCTGTGCTGATGGTTCTTACTACTAAATGAGATTGCCAGAGTGAGGTGTGAATGGGGTCCTGCAATTCAGTTAACATAAGCCACCAAGAACCCAAGTAGTGAATGGAAGCTGCTTCTGGTCTTCCATGGCCTGAGATGAGGTTGCAACTTGTACCTTACAGCAGATAGGATTCACATTCCACGAGCCTTCCCGCTGTGTCCTAAACCGTATGACTGCTTGTTGTCAGTGCAAACACCCACTCCTCCCTTCCTTGCAATTCTATATTTCTACATTTACTATACATGTGCCTTTGTATGTATAAACTGCAGACTTTGTTACTCTTTGCTGTAGGTGCGGCAACTGGTTCCCAGAAGGGATCAAGCCCTGATGGAAGAACATGCTCGCCAGCAGCAAAATGAGCGACTTCGTAAACAGTTTGGTGCGCAGGCCAATGTCATTGGACCCTGGATCCAGACCAAGATGGAGGTAGTGCTTTGCTCATTTTGAAATACTCTGTTTTCCTCTGCAATCTTCACTGATGTTCTTATCCTTGGTCTTTCTTGACCACTGTCATGGTCATTCTTCCTTCACATTACAGCAAGAAAAACTTTCATAGAAAACATGGAGAGTCTCAAGATTGATATTGGTTATTGAAGTGCTTGTACTTTTCTTCCCTATGCTCTTTACTACAGAGATAAAAAGCATGACTTAAAATGGGGAACACTGATATTTTATTAGAGTTGTGTTTATATGCAGCAAGTTAAAGACCCTATATCAGAGGCATATTTTGTGTAACTGCTTTGACAGCAATGGTCTTGATACACATGACAAAATAAATATAATTAACATATCAAACATCAACAGAAGAGACATTTTTAAGGGAGATCTTCTCTCCTTAGGTTAGATTTGAGTTAAAGGAATTGGAGTTGATAAAATGGAAAAATATGAAGCTATTACTGATGACAGGAGCTGTAAAGAAGAGAGTAATTACAGAAATACGTCTGTATGAGGGGACTAAGTTAGTGGCAAACAATACATCAAGAAAAGATCTGGCTTGGTACGTTACTAGCTTATGAGCTGTGGTTTCCATATGTTTTTTATATCCTTGTATTAGATACATCTCATGTGACTCACCTCAATTGGAAAATGCTGACACTGTCTCGGCTCATTTAAAGTAACTGCTCCATGAGATTTTATTTTTTTTTCAAATCATCATTCTGTAGATGAGTGTGAAATAGCTGCAATAAATGTCAAGCACGTTGAGGCTTGTTCTTCCAATGGGGACTAACTCCTTTGGCTTTGCTAATGCAGGAGATTGGCCGTATTTCAATAGAGATGCATGGGACCCTGGAGGACCAGCTCAACCACTTACGGCAGTATGAGAAGAGCATTGTGAATTACAAACCAAAGATTGACCAGTTGGAAGGAGACCACCAACAGATCCAGGAAGCACTTATCTTTGACAACAAGCACACCAACTACACCATGGAGGTAAAAGTTTTGGCTGCAGATCAGACAGCCTCATCTGCTGTGGCCAGTTAGCATCAGCCACATCTAGCTCTGGCAACATGTTGTTCTCAGGAAAATGGAGAGCTTGACAATGTGGCCAATCATGCAACAACATGTCGCTGAATTACTTTTTTTTTTGCCTTGCTGTACTTCATGCCAACCCGTTCCAATGTACTTCCAAATATAGACAATAGAAATAACCTGAAAGAGATGAACAGTATCGCTGGAAAAATTGGCTGGTCTTGTTTCCTCTGCCACCTGATTGTGGCAGCCTGTTAGCTACATTACAAAGACCAGGGGAGTGCTGGTGATTTTGAGCTGCCACAGCCTGGCAGAAGAAAAAAGTCCAACAAAAGCTTTTTAAAATTGGAGTCTGGCTTTCTGCTGACAAAGTGAGGTTTCCTGGAAGCAATCTGAGTTCAACATGAGTCCAGCAGAACACAGGCGGGCTTTGAAACTTGCCTTTTGGTTTCCAGCCAGCTCTCCATTAAGCAGAAGCAGAGGTAGTGGAGCACCAGTGTCTTCCAAGAACTGTGGTTTATTTATTTTCTTGGTAAGGAGAGTTTTATGCCCTACTAAATCCTACAAGCACTGGTTTTGATTCTCATGTGTGTTAAAGGCCCCTAGTATGTTGCTCTGACAAGGCAAAGGAACTTTAATAGGACGAAGATTTCCTTAAGATTAGGAATTGGCTTGTTGTCTCACACTGTAGATGAGAAGAAAGCTTTTCTGAGCAAATTGACTTCTCTTGCCTTGGCCACCAGGATCATTTAATTTGCAACAAGTGGCACATTCAATCCACTGGCCTCAGAGGCAGAAGAGCTACTTTTTAATTTTAAAATTGTCCTGTCCTCTTTTTCCAGCATATCCGAGTGGGTTGGGAGCAGTTACTAACAACTATTGCTAGAACCATCAATGAAGTGGAAAACCAGATTTTGACGCGTGATGCCAAAGGAATCAGCCAGGAACAGATGAACGAGTTCCGGGCTTCTTTCAACCATTTTGACAGGGTAAGTCAGTGCAGACTGCAGCTTGGTAAGCTACAAGCTTCCATGTAGACTGCACAGTGCAATGAAGAAAAAAGACACTGTGATAAATCTAGGTCAACAGAAGATTTTCATTCATAAAAACACCACTCCTGTGGAGCAGTCATTCCTGTGAAGAATGCTAAGTGATCATTATGCTGGGAGAAGTACATCTTCACAGGAAACTGCTAAGTTTCTTGATAAAGCTAAAGTATGGAAAAGTTTGAAGACTTATTTAGGAAATTAGACTTCTTCCCCATCTTCTCCAGAGAACAGATGACTAGCTTGATTTATAAAATTCTGTGGAGCAGCTGTCCTGCACTCTGACATACCATCATATAAACCTATATTGAAGTAACTAATATTGCTCTTGTATGGAGCAAACAGGAGGACCTATGCACACCACAGCATTGCATGAGGTAGATGATGTGAAGCCTGCCTTGCCTTACTGTGGAAATACATGCCAGGGCACTAACAGGTGCAATAAGAAAGGAATTCCTTAAAGGAAATTCTCCTCCCCTCAGTTTGACAGCCTGTCTACAGCTCTTTCTTCTACAACCTGAATCACAAAGGTGTCATGCAGGGAAGGAGAGACAGCAGCCCAAGCCTGACACTGGTTCCATTATCAACCCCTTCAGTGTTGTCTGGAAATCCACGAGCAGCCTGCAGAGATGCTAAGTCCGTGATGCAAATATAGGTTGCTCTCTGCCACTTGCTGCACCAGTCAGACTGTTTGAAAGGTCTCCAGGAAACAGGGCTGCTGCCTGCCCTCAGAGATTGACAACACTTTCAGATTGCTGAATGCTGGCTATTCCAGCCCTTCTCTAGCTGCCTAAGAAAAATAAACCTATGGCTGCTTTTCTTAGCAGAGGAACCCATAAAGCCCTGTAGATTTTTATATTTTGACCTTTGGATTATTTGCCCCTTCCTGCACAACAGTCTGCATGATAATGCAGAGAGAACATGGCTTTCCTATCTTCAACTATGTATTTGATTTTTGAAGACTTAATGCTGACTTTAAAAGCTGATTTTTTCGAGGAAAGTTGCTTGGGATTAGCCCCACCATCCTTTCTGTAGATTCCTTGATCTGGCCAGAGATGGTGATGGCAGGCAGGGGCTTTTGGGGGGTGTCCTGAGCTAAAATTCTTCAGGGTGGATGGGTATTCTTAGTTCCTGTGGTAGCTTGAGTATATTTTGATGATCCAAAGACTGGGGGAGTGGGGGATGAGCAAAGGGAAGAGCAGCTGCCAAGCTGCATTGTGCTGCGCTGGGCAGCAGTGCTGTTTGCAGAGCTGAGCACTTGAAATAGCTTTGCCAGTTGAAGCTCCACCTCATGTGCAGGTCTCATAAATACAGCCATAACACTGCTCCCCTGAGCTTCAGCTGGTTTTCCATGTCTGCTCCTGGGATGCCCTGACAGCTAAGCTTCCTTGGGTGTGTTGCCAAACATACCTGCCCTCACCTACTCCTTTAGTGGGACTTTTGACTAGAATATTAAGGCAATGCTTCCCACTGACTCTGCCTGCTTACCTGCACTCCGGGTTACTAGTGAAACACAGGGCTTCTGACACAACGGATAACAAGCAGTAACACAAGTAATTCACTTGGGAGATGGAGATCTTGAGGCTTCTAAGCACCAACTGTTTTTTGTCATTCAAATGCTCTCAAGATGTGACAAGTGCTCTGAGAAGGAACTGTTCCAAGAGCATTTTTAGCACATCCTGAAATGTCATTGTGATATCTAATGTTGTGCACTTTTTATTTTTCTTCCCTGTCTTTCTATCTGCATGTCATCCTTCCTCTCTCCTCACCCACTGCATGGTGCACCTATTTGTTGTCCTTCCACCTCCCTCTGATCTCCTCTGTGTCTCCCTTCCTTCTGCCCCACACCATCACCCCACTGGCACTGCATGTCCTGCTGCCTGGCACACTGCATAACCAGGACCACTCCGGCACACTTGGCCCTGAGGAATTCAAAGCCTGTCTCATCAGCTTGGGTTACGATATTGGAAACGATGCACAGGTACTGAATGCTAATGGTGAACACAGCCAGATGTTAAACTGTGAAAAAAATAACAGTTTTTTCCTTTCTTTTCTTGTTTGTCTTAATCCGTCATTTCTGTTCTTGTGTTTGACTATGTATACATCACTTTTCTATACTGTTTCCTCTCTAAATGTACTTTGGTATCTATTCCTTCTTAATTCCCTAATTGTTTGTCTTGGGATAATTCCTTTTACGTTTTCAAACTATTCCATTTACTTCTGGGTCATTTAACACTTCTTTTCCTGTCCATCCCTTAATCTGTCTTGCTTGATATCTTCATTTCTGTTTTTTCATCATCAATATGTCCCTCGTGTGTAAACTGTTCCATGTCCAAAACCACCTTTGTTTCCTCATGGTTTCACCAACTACCTTTCCTCTGTTTTTTATTGTCCTGTAAATCCTTCCTTCCATCTCCTCCCCCTGAAACTCATTCTCTTGTGGGTTCATTTTTCCCTGGACTGGTCTCCCTTTTCTCTCTTGGGTTTTTCCATCTTTGCATCATTCCCTGTAGAAGAAGACTGGTATGATGGATTGTGAAGATTTCCGAGCCTGCCTTATCTCCATGGGTTACAATATGGTAATGTAGAGCCCTCTGTCACTCCTGTTCAAAGTGATTCTTGTAGGCACCATCAAAAATAAAGGGAGAATATGTCATGAAGCATGATACAGCCTTATTTTCCAGAATTATCAGCAATGGATGTTAAATCTAGTAGTAGTTGTGCATGTAAAATTCTTGTCTCACAGTGGTAGCTGAAGGTAAAAAAAAGGAAATCATTGTCCTAATTCCTGTGTATTTCAAATCAGAATTATATTTATCAAACTGTGTAGCTACAAGTGGAAGAAACAGTAAACTTCCTTGTATCGGTACCTGCGCGCTGCACAGCATACACAACCTCCCCAGCCCCAAGTATCAGTTGAACTCATCTGAAAGTATACACAATCTGATTTCTGAATACACTCAAACGCTGCTCCTCTCATTCCTGCCATTTATTTCACATCAATCTTCCTGTACTTATAAGTAAGTTCAAGTTCCAGTCCTCTTCCCCATAGCTTTTCTCCCACTAGAGTACCTGCATATTCAGAACAGTAACATGAGGCATAATAACTAAGGATGAGCTTTACTGAAGACTCATGCTCATCAAAGGGCAGAAGAGTGTAGTGCAAAAATATTCAGCTGTACTCTCAGTGTCTTTTCTCCTGATCTCAGGCAAAGCACTGTTTATTCATCTTACTCATCAGCCCAGTATAAATTCAGCCTCTTTAGTGTAGCGTGCCAAGTGGCAGTAACATTTGATTAGATAGCTTAATTATTTTGGAAGGTATACTGTTCTAGATGTGTTAGAAGAGCCTGTTCCCAGGAGAAAACTCAGATCTGCTCTCCCTTCCTCCTTACCTGGGGAGAAATGAGTCCTGGAGATGAGAATAGATGATCTTACATTTATATGGGGAAAACCAAAAAAATGCAGCAAACTATACTATGAGGTTTTGCCTTCTGTAGCAAAAAGGAAGATTTTTTTGTTAAAAAAAAAAAAAGATTAAATAATACAAAAATTTGTAGGATCTTCCCTGTAAAGGCCACTTCCCTGGGCCACTCCAGATACATGAGTCTTTCTTTCCAAAGCCTGTCTAGTTAGGATGACCCAGATACTATTAAAGACCCCAGAGACATTTCTTCTGGTGGTTTCTGTTCTGGCAGCTGAAGAGAACTGTAGAAGTTCTCTTTTAGTAAATGAAGGTAAAAGGATTTGAAGAATGCAGATCTTCAAAGATTGCTAGAGACATCTAGCACGACATGTATTACAGAGTGATTTGCATCTTCCCCTGAAGTCTGTGTGATATTGTTCCCTGATAATAGCACTGTCGTAGAGCTAGATGGAGCTGGATGTTATCCTAGGGCACAGCTGAGAATATTTTATTCCAAAGGACAAATGAGTGGGAAGCATTTGTACACAACAGCAAGCTAAAAAAGAATACCCTAATTAAAAAAACAGAAGTGGTTTCTATTTGGCTTTGTTCTTCTAGCTGTGAGATGTGCTGCTGAACAGCTTCTCCCCACTTTCACAGCACCACTGCCCAAATGTCCAGGCTGACATGACTCTTGTTCTCCAGGGAGAGGCCGAGTTTGCCCGCATCATGAGCATCGTTGACCCTAACCGTTTGGGTGTAGTGACGTTCCAGGCCTTCATCGACTTCATGTCCCGGGAAACAGCAGATACAGATACTGCTGACCAGGTTATGGCTTCCTTCAAGATCCTGGCTGGAGATAAGGTCAGGCTCCACACCCTCCTTTCCTGCATCTGCATTGCTCCTGCTTTCCTTTTTCTCTCATCTCCCGAGAGCAAGTGTCAAGGGAAGCACTCTCTAGCATGGCAGGTATTTTCAGAGGAACATGGTGTGGTGCTGGAGGCATGCAAGGCTAAAGCGTGGCTTAATGAGCAGCATGACAAGGCACTTGAAAGTCCTGTTCAGCTGTCAGTCAGAACTTTGCTGCCCACTCTTGCTTTAAAAATTTAATTAAGAGCTTGGTTGCAATTTGTTATTTTAAAATGTATGAACAAATTCAGCAGATGGTTCTTGATTAGTCTTGAAAAACTATTAATTACTGACAGCTGTAAACTTGAGATGACTTTTCTCATATACATGTGTTGCTATCAGTTGTTAAACAATCAATAGTAGATTTTCATTGAGGATATGCTGTATCTGCAAGAGAAACATCTTTTAATCATAAAAATTGATCAAAAGTAGGAAAACTTACAGCATGATACTAAAAAGTATTCATTTTCTAAATTTGTATCATCATCAGTGGAACCTGCTGAATAAAAAAAATGTAATCTTATTTTTCTTACATAACAATCCCCACTAATCTTTTACATAATTTAACAAATAATATGTACAAGTAATATTAATATATCTATATTTGCTAATGTTTTTATTCGTCTCAAATCAAATGTTGGATACCATTTCTTAGACTGTAATGAGTTACCCTTAAATCCAGCACTGGTTTCCATGTCTCACTAATAATCTTTTCATAATTTGTAATGTAGATACCCTTAGGCATCTGCCTGACTGAAGCCAGTCCTATTGTCTTTCAAGGCCTGAAAATTCCACATTATTCAGATAAGCTAATGACTGAATAAATAGGTATTTTCGGATATAGTATTACTTACTAACTCCTTTACTCTGTGCAGTTTGTTAAATATACTTATCAGGTTTTAATATGCTCTAGTGACTATAACATGAATCAGTATTTCATTATGAAGAAAAATACCTCTTACTCACTCTTGTCATTAAACTGAAAGGCCGGGGGGGGGAGGTGGAGAATAAAAAGTCACAGGAGAGAGAGAGATGGTGTGAAACCTGAACCATTGTTCAGACAGACTGCAAATGCCCATGAGTCAGTTAGCTAAAGACAACATACTGCTTAGCCAACAGCCAGCTACTGTTAACCTCCTGCATGGAGAGAGGCCAGGCTACCTCAGCTCAGCGAGTCTCCAGAAGCTGAATTTACATAAGACATCGAGCTTGCTTATTAAAAATGTGTGCTGTGAAAGGCAAGGATTGTTGGGGAAACTGTGGAAGCAATACAAAGTATTTGCTTGTCTGCTGTCTGCACTGGTGCCGCCAGCTGGAGCTAGTGGGAATGGCTCCTTCCTCGCTCTGTAGAGGGAGAACGGCAATTCCCAAGCAGCACAGGCAGCTCTTACCTCCTGCAGGTGAGGGACAGGGTCCAAGTGAAATCTCTGCTTCCTCCCATTTGCTTTCAGCAAGACCTACCCTGTCAACAGGAAGGCACAGTCTTAGACTAAAACCTTACCTTACTTACCTCCAGGTCTTTTCCTTAGGTGTGCCAGCATCTCTCCTGCAAAAACAATCTCTGTCTCCATTGTAAAAACCATTTTATTGTTGGAACAGTAGGGAGCGACTGCATTTCCTCCCAAGGTGGATGCACGGAGCTCCCTGTGTGGGTGTGCAGTACTAGTGTAGTTGCTGGGGTCCTGTCCCTGACCTCTGTCTGCTGACCTGAGAGGACAGGGGGCGCTTGTCCCTCTGAGGAAGGTCAATTTTCTGAACATAACAATCACCTTGTCGTTTGTCCTCATTGCAGAACTACATCACTGTGGATGAGTTACGGCGGGAACTGCCTCCTGATCAGGCTGAATACTGCATTGCTAGAATGGCACCCTACAATGGCCGTGATGCTGTACCCGGTGCCCTGGACTACATGTCCTTCTCCACGGCACTCTACGGCGAAAGTGACCTTTAACTTTTTTCTGTCCCACCACACGCTCCTTCCCCTCTCCCCCGTCCGACACGCCCTTCTTTCTCTTTGCAAAGCAGCCTCTGCTCCGCTCTTTTTTGTGTTTCCCTGTTTTGCTTCAGATAACAGATCACATTTTTAAGTGGGGGGGAGGACATTGATATGGCATCGCCTACCTTGCCCTTGAAATGACAGTTTACAAAATTATTTTGTGCAAAAAGTTAAGTTTTAAAAAGAACAGACATATTTTATTATAGAAAAAGGTATTTTTCTCCACCAGATTGAAACTTAAAAGGAAAATGTTACAATATTGCACCAAATATTTTTTGTTGTGACACAGAAAGTCGAGCACAATGTTACATTCCATCCTTTCCAAAAAGAACCAAACAACAAAATGCCACTTGTTCTGTTAACTTTTACATTTGCGTATGTCTCTTATCACGTTTATTTTGGGAGGGGGGAAGGCACACAAGTGCATGTGTTTGCTGGTTCACTCATTTCATGAAAATATTTTATGATAAACTTTTGAAATTGCTGTGTTTTCTAGGGAAAAAAATAATGTACACAGCTCATGTTTTCATATTTAATTAAAAAATACAATATGCCTCCTATGTTTATCAGTGCACAACTTTTTTTGTTGCTGAGAGTTGTCTGGTTTCAGAACATGAAGCTTGAGAGTTGATAACTTTGATATTGCTTGTCACAAACCATATTAAAAATTTCTTGTGATAACAAATCTAGACTTTATTCATTTGTATAGTAAAATTGTTTAATCCTATGTAGTTAAAACCACAAACATGATGAAGAGAATCCAAAATTAATGTTTTTTAATTGAAATTACAGTACTTTAAACTTTCCTTCCCTCTTAACCTTTTCATTCTTGCTGAATGATGTTGGAATTTTCACAGCTTTCTTACTACTTTAAATTAATGTCTTATATAATTTTTAACCATCCCTGATACACCCACATCTCTAGGAACAATACTCCTGTTGTTCCTTAAAACCCAACACAGGCTGTGTTTCCTTAAAGAACACACTCAAACTGTGCAAACAAACAACCACCATATCTTCAACCATCTATGGAAAATTCCTCCACCGTTCCATGATCAGCATTGAATATCTCACTGCTCTTGATAGCACATCTTCTGACATTGTAAATTCTTCCAGAGTTCTCAAGATCATCTTTGTACTGGGCATTCAAAAGAAACTCCTTTGGGAGCTTCAGTGAGTCATAAAGTATACACACAGACATATGCCTGAAAATAGGCAGAGGGAAACAGCTCATCCCTTGCAGCCATCTCATCACAGGTGCCTTTCCTGCTCTCCCACAAACTTTTTTTAGGAAACATGGAGTTAGGAGCAAAAAACTGCATTACTGCTTCATGACATGTTTCAAGTGAGTGGGTTTTAGGTATAATCACATACTGCTGTCTCTAGTCCCAAAGGCAGTTTTTATTTTGAAGTAACGACTGCAGGAGCGGAGAATTCATGCACAGAGTCACACAGGGCTCCTGCAGCCTCCGGTAGCATTGTCCTTCCATTCTCCAGGGCAGAGCCAAGCGCTGAGGAAGCCATTGTACATGGTGGGTTGGGGTTCAGCACAGCTTTCTGCTTTATTCCTGACCTCGAGTAGAACACAATAAAAATCACAGCGGTGTATTGTGATGTATCCCAACCCGACGGTATCTGCACACCGTGTGGGAGAGGGGATGCTAATGTGTGATGCCACATTTCTTCCAGGAGATGCCAAGATCTGCGTTCTCCTGTAGGCCGGATAACATGTTCACAGAGGTTATGCAGGTGAGCGCCATTTAGCTCCATACATGGACAAGGCCAGACTGAATGTACCTTAGTTTGTCTTCACAGGTTGAAGCCGAGACAGTTCATGTAACTTAACCTACAGTTGCATTGTTAATGAGTGCTGGGGTTGAGGTGAAGCTGAGTTTTCTGTATTGTAACCTGTGATACTGAGAGGCCGGGATGGGTCAATATGAATTGGCAGTAAATAGGACTTGCAGCTGCATCAGTATTTAATCCACTTGAAAGCTCTTCTATAAACCCATTTTCAGCCACATCACTACTATGTTGCTACAAATGGGACTGTCCTCTTCAAAGACAAGGAGTGCTGATTCCATTGCTGTGTTTTAATGTACATAACACAGGTTATCTGAAAAGTAAAACAGCAGAGGGGATGACTACAGGCATGGGCAGATAATTTACATGGAAGTTTGACTCAGAGTGGCCATTGCCCTTGCTTTCATAATCCTCTTTCCTCTTCCACAGCAGCTGCCTTGTCTTTGGGTTGCTGCACCTGGAAAAAGATGTTTGCACTGTCAAACAAATTGAGGTTCTCTGTGGGTTGTACCCACTCCCAGAAGATGTGATGATACACTTTTTTATGTGTGTTTTGTGGGTTTTTTATATTAGCAGTAATGGGGGGAATGTCTGCTGGGGTACTGAATGACTGCTATCTGGAGAAAAGAGCCCATGTTATTTTGAAATAGGGCTGGAAAAAGAGCATAGGTGCACCTTGGGCCATCACTTTGGGCCCAGATCTGCTACCCCTCTGAGAATGGAGCCAAATTATTTTGAATGATCCCAGTGACAGCACTCTGCAAGTCCATGCTTGGAGATTCCAGCAGTCTTTATAAAAACCTTTTACTGAGCTGTGGTAGTGCTGTGCCCTGTGACCAGGTTTCCACAAAACCCCACCTGAGTGTAAGTCTTCCTGGTCTTACGAGACAGAAAACAGGTGGCTCATCCCTGTCACATCACAAATTGATGGCAGGGTGTGGGCTCTGGCCTTATTGATGCTCTACTGGCACCACAGCACTGCAGCCTTAGGTGAAGTTGTGACACTAACAGCACCAGAAAGGCTTTGCCTTGAATAGAGTCCAAAATATTGGCAATAGATATGCCTAAAACTTTAGGTATATCTACTGGTATTTCTTCTGCTTAGGTGGTGCGGCCTTTGACAAACTGGCTAGAGCTAACATGACCTGGCCTTTCCCTCTAGCCTGTAGATAAGGCTTCCCCCCCTGTTCCCACCCCACCTGAGGAGAAGCACTAGGATGCTGTAACACATTCATCTTTCTCATATGCAGCATAAGGCATAACTTGCAATCTTGTGGCCTAACAGTCTCTGGCAGTTAGTATGCTGGAATCTGAAAGCAGCTTTTTGTATTAGGCTCATGGCTTTGCAGCTAACATGCCATTCTTTAGCCAAGTCCTGACATCAGCCTTGATGAAATTCGTCTCTGGAAGCAGCTGTTTGCAGCTCAGTGACTGCCCCTTCCCCTGCCAAGAACAGAAGCAGCAGACAATCCGCTTCAAGCTCACATCTCCCATTCAGGGGTAGACTGGTTTTGTCAGTCTGCCATGCTCACTATTTTCAGGCACGGAAATTGAAACAATGCTTTCCCAAGAAATTAACCATTTTCCTTTCATGGCTGTTGATATCTTTGGCTGCTGAGATTGCCATGCCGGCTCTGGCATGACTGTCTAACAGTAACAGGGGCAAAAAACACATCAGTGCTCAGACAACATGGGTCTGTCTTGCCGCCAGAACGTCAGCCACATTCCCATAAGCCTCTCAAATCTATCTTGTGACTGTTGCATGTCTTCAGTACTGCCAGCATCTGGTTTTGGAGCAGAGGAGCAGAGCCAGGAGTCTCAGAAGACAATGAAAGGAAACTGATCTGCAACCTTGAATGAACTTGGTTTCAAAGAAGTATTCATATGTCCATGGAGGATCCATCCAGCTGAATCAGACTGACTGGTTTTATCAGGGAAACAACTGAGGGCGAGGAATAAAGAAAGGGTGGCTGTTCATAATGGCTGGGAAAAGGAACAGCTCGAACTAAAATGACTTTGCTAAGTGTGAATGCAGGTATGATTTTCAGACCATAACAAGATTATTTGTATGACATGACTTGCACTACAGATGCTGGGATAGGACAGATTTTTTTCCACTCCTGTGGTAGCCAAGCACTAAGGAAGTTTAATTCTGTTGAACTGATCAAACTGCTGAGGTGACTCTGGCTACTGAAAGAGTCGCTACTGTGTAAACCCTTAAATCCATTGCATTAGCTCTAAGCTGCTGGGAAAGTCTTAGCATAATAAACTTAGATTAACAAAGTCTAGGGCACATCCTGAGACAAGCAAGTAATCAGAACGTTCCCCAGCACACCAAGAAAATGTGTTCAATGCTGCAGTCAATAGAGAAGTCAGACATTGTGAAGGATAAAGTTAGATGATTAGATCTCGTCCAGGGAAGTAGGTTCTATAAGGCTATTTTAGGTAGATTTAAATCTCAGCAATTTAAACCCACTGAAAATGCAAGAAGAAAATTAATCTTTTCTATATTCTGAGGACTTACAGCCACTATAGACTATACATCTCATCAATAAAATATTAAAATGGATTCCTCCTCTGTCTTTGGACACCACACAACAGTCAGGAAATAGTTTCTAAGTTTTACTCTGCTTTGATTTCTGGGACATATATGCATAAAAATATGTTAGTAGAAACTGCACTACATCCCATCACCGTCTTATCTCTTCTCTGTAACATTTTTTACACCTTCTTGCTATTAGTCGGTAGTTCAGTTCCCGGTGACCTAGCAAGCATTCAAGCAAAATATCAAGAAGTATCTGTAGCTATCTCAGTACCTCAGTGACCCCGATCTGAGGATCTGTCTGGAAAAGCGTAAGTTCTCACTACTGCTGTGGGAAACATCCAGTATTATTCCCGCTGTGCAGATGAAGAAGGCACATGGGGAAAAGGGCTAGGTGTCACTAGAAGGTAGGAATACAAAGCCTTTATTTACACTTGCAATCCAGCCTCTGTTCAGCTGCTGCTTAAATCTGGAGGTAATGTTCTCTAGGCTTTTCCCTGTTGCATCTAAGCCTTCTCTGCATGCCTACATTTCTGCTTCGGGGCAGGCCTGGAATGGGCCACTAAAACAACTGGACACCTAGACCCCTGTGACAGTCCCCATCAGGGTCCAAGCACTGCCCTCGCAAAGACCCCACATGACTTGGGGCAGCAAACCTCACCCCGTGTACAAAGAGCGGTACAAACCAGCAAGACTGGCTGCTCTCTCTGCAAAGCCTCTAGGTGAGTTTGCCACCCATTTGCTCTGTAAGAGCCTAATTGCCTAAAATATCTTCACAACAGGAGAGTAATGAAAGTCAATGCTTCATTCCTCCTCAGGTGATCCCCATCACCCAGCACTACACCCTAACCAGTGGGAAACCTCATAGGCTGGGCCAGGGAGCATCTCCCCAGCTTCACTCTGTCTGTCACTGAGAAATACAGAATAAGCACTCAAGCAATAGGAGAGAGGGCATGAACCCGTATACTTGTGGTTTTGGCAATCACTTTGCAAAAGGAATGCTGCATTTCAGTCCCTGACGGAGGCATTTTTAAGGTATTTTCTATTAAACAGTCAAAGGATAAAATACAGAACAAAGCCTCAGGGTGGGACACAGGCCCTGGGACCTCTTCCAGCACCCCCATCCACTGGGTCTGCCCTTACACTTGCTTTCCCTCAGTTGTCTGCTCCATAGTGTCACAGCTTGAATGAGAGGAGCCACTCGCCTCTGCCACCACAGGCGCACACTGTGGTTAGGGCACTCTGAGGCACATGGGAGCCTGGATCTTCAGTTGGAGGAAGACAGCGGACCCAAGCCTCTGGATAATGGGTGCTTTAAAAAATAGTCCATTTTACAAAAT